TTATTTTGGCTATAGAGAAACATAGAAGTTCTAGTGGAAATCATTTACAAAACAAAAACCCACACACAGGGGAGATAAGCTTAAAGGGATTTCGACTACTTACCATTTACAAATTGTTAAACTTTTACTCCTATATGGGGGTTACCCGTATTGTTCCCGCACTGTATTGCCTTTTGCTCTCTCTTTTCAAAATTGTATTTAGTTTTGTACTTACCGTTCATTATGCAAATGATAACACAATGGTCCCCCATATAAAAAAAGTATATAAGGGCTTAAATAATTATAGAACCTGGTCACAATCGAGGACTAAACAAGTTTCGTTTTTTGCTAATATGCACCAATGCAGTGTATATGCTTTAACTGCGTACAGATGCGAGGTCACTCCCATTTACCCCCCATCTATAAAAAAAAAACAGGTATACAATACAGTACTAGTGGGATGAATTATTACATAAAAAAAGGGACTACTTTTTCCCTCAAAGGGGAAAAAAGAAAGAGCCCCAAAAGCCACTGAAAAAGAAACATTAAAATGAAAATACTGAAGGACATGGAAAAAGAGCTAAGGCAAGAGGGGGAAATAAACAGAGGGAGATGACCAACCCGAATTTGGAAAATTCTCTAGGGGGGGCCTTGCATAAAACAGCTTTTTGCTTGGGCCCAATAAAAATGATTAACAGATACAGTGGACCCCCCCCTAATGATCAGCTCCCAACTCGCCCAATTTGAAAAGTTATTTTTGTAAGTGCTTTTGTAGGTGTTTTTTTTTGGGGGGTTAAACTGACTAATCTAATTCACAATATTTTTTAGGGGAAAAAATTCGGTCTAAAATGGCCCCCAAACGGGAACTTCTGGATTAAAAATAATATCTTTAGGGGGGGGGGTTTCCACTGTATCTTAAATACAACATACACAATTAACAAACCCTTTTGTGACTATCAACCCAAAATTTTTTTTATTACCTTTTTGGGGAATAGTTTTGCTTTGAAATTTGGGTCAGGAAAATCAAATATTGCAACCCCCCTTTTTGATCGAGGGTGGAGGTTGATGTGTAGAGGGAGAAATTGTCCATCTCCAAAATATTCTTTTTCATGACATTACAAAAAAACCTTAAATTTACCCAGGTTAAAAAAGTTACATGTAAATTTTTCAATCACAATACATTAAATTTTAAAATTAAAAAACCCAGTTTTCAGCCTTCCTCACTTAGCGATGTACTCGTTTACCAACATTTGGGACTTATGACGCACTCCCCTGACCGTATGCATACCTAAAAAATTGTATATTAGAGCTGTTTTTCCTCAAATTTGTTTATTAAAATTTTACAGTACACTACTTTATAAACATTTAAAAATTTTACTAAAAAATGTTAAAAAAATGGTACAAAGGTAAATTTTAAACCCCTTTCGGGTCCCCCCGTAGATCAACGGTTTTTTCGTTGAGTGCCCAAAACCGTAGCTACCCCAAAATTCTAGCGCCGTAAAATTTTTTTCGGGGAAAACGCTCATGGGCCCCTACATTTTGAGAGAACGGGTCTGGTGGTGGGGTGCGCCTAAAAAAAAAAATCTAGGCGCCCCCCATAGCATTGGGGGGAACCCCGGGGTCATTTACCCTTGTTAAACCATCCCTTTCGTCGCAAGCCCAGCTCTCACTCCCCAAAAAATTTTGGGGCTCTCCTTTTTCCTATCTGAGATTTCTGCATGTTTGGAAGTGGAAAGGGAAGACGAATTCTACGGCTTTGATCAGTTAGTGCCGAAAAGAATGGCCGGGATATCAATAAAGTGCGGGAAAAACCCTGACAAACCTAAAACCTTCCCTACCTCGGGTGTGGGCACTCGTAAACTCACTGTTGGTTTTTTCCTCTTCGCAAGGAAAACAAAATTTTTTTCGCGTGGCCGGGCCTCTGACTTCATTTAATTTATGATGATAGTGACGGGGACTGTGTTTTTTATTGCGCTCGACGATAAATCGAGTATTTAATAGTGGGAAATTTATTTTTCACCGGAAGCATTTTTTATTTTTTTTTCCCCCCCGGCCGCATTCGCTCGGGTAGTGAAACCCTATGCTGTGCCCAGGGGAGGGGAGAACCCCGGGGATACACCCCGTGGCCCCCAACCCCCATTTTTTGGGTTTATTAAATAGTGGGAAATGATGTGGCTAACATTGGCTTGGATAGACCACGGGGGAAAACCAGGGGATGGGTTTTAAAGGTGATGGTAGGGGCACCGCCATCGTGACTCAAGGCCACGCGGGCCCACATGCTGACTCTTTCAGTTCAAGGACAAACGGAGCGCCGCCCCCAAAGCCCCCCCACAACCACAACCACCCCCAACCCCTATGATGCCCAGTACCCCCCAGCAAACCGTATTGGGATTGGCAGAAAAAATCCCAATTTTGTTCCCAAAACCTTTACCAATTTTATGATTCTCAAAGTGGAAAATTTTACCTACTTGTCCCCTTTTGGAAAACCACGGCCCCAAAGAACTGGAATTCTTTTAATTATTCTTTACCCGCCCTTGATTTGGGAAAATTTTTGTCAGGGGAAAATTAAAAAGTATTTTTAGTACACCATGGCAAAAACGAACTTTTCACCACAGTCAGATCACCCGGTGGAAAGAGAAAGGAAATGTTGGGAGAAAAAGTATTTGCTTTTTGCAACAATAATTTCTTTTTTGCCTACGTTAAAAGCATAATATAAAAACATACTGGTCCCCCAGATCGGCTAATTTCCCACCCCGGTTTTTTCAGTGAAATTTAAACCAGTGAACAGGTTTTTCTTACCCCCTTACGTTTTTGTTTTTCACTTCTCTGACAAAACCCGGCCTGAAAAGAAGTTTACAGGGGTTTTTCAAAATTAGAAATGTTTTCATGTATTCAAAAAAAAGTTCAGGGATATACTTTTACCTTCAAGAATCCCTTGGGAATTGGAGTCTTTGATTTTTTTCAAAGGGGACTGGCATTCAAGCGTATATTTCCGAAACAAAAGGAAAAACTTTTTGGGAAAAAAATGTTTGACTCTTGGGTTGTGACAGTGGCCTGGGTTGGAATTTTTGTTGTATACACGGGTTTTTTAAAAAAGAAAATACCCAAGGGTGTTTTTTGGGTATCTCAGGTGAGTAGTAGAACATGAGGCACCTTATCTTGGGAAGGGGGATACATTTTATACCGGGTAAACCCGGAAAAACAGCCCCTTACTCAGTGATTTCCCTGGGGAGTGAACAAGGCCCGATGGGTTTTGGGCACAGGCGTTCTAAACAAAAAAAATATGCCCGGTTTAAAAAGCAGGTGCCGTGGTGATACGCAGGGGTTTTCTGCCAAAGACATCATGGCATTATGGTGGCATGACAAACGAGATGTCACACTGTTGACAAAACCCTTCACCCTAATGAAAAGCAAGACAGTGGCAAAGTTTTTAACGAGTTTCCCAAGAAAGTATTCGGGAAAAACCCGTGACAGTGATTGATTAAACACAAAACATGCGCTTGGTTTACAAATGTGACATGCAGATTGGTTTTGTTGACTTTTGTTTTTGTAAAATTTTTCAAGGGTACATGAAACTTTTCTTCCATCTCATGGACATTTTAAAAGCTCAATGCAATAATATGTAAACCCAAAAAAAACTGGGGAACAGACCCCGTATGGTGAATTTTTTTTTGTCTGTTGTCAGACAACTCATAATGAAAATACCAGGTAACAACACCTGCTATACAAAAACGGTCCTCGGGAAATTTCCCCAGGATATACCCCAAACGTTTGAGGAGGGGGAAAGGGGATCATTTCATAAAACAACTTCCCCTTTAACTCAGGGAAAAAATTTTTTCCCCAGAAAAGATGCAAAATTGTTTCACAAAAAAAAAAAACGGCAAAAAAGACGGGAAAGACACTCGGTTTTTTGTTTAGGAAAAGTAAGGGGGCCTTGTGCATGGTGCCTTGTTTTCCCAAGGGGTTCCCCAAGCTCCCGCAGTTTTTAAAAAACCCTGTCCCCCGTTTATTGTAAAAAAAAGTAAACATAAGATAGAACATTTTGTATTTTACAAAATTTGTGCATGTTTTTTTTGTAAAACAACCCGTGGTGAACAATAATATGATAATAACTTTTTGTGCGGTTATTGTGTTCAAAAACAGTGAGTTTTTTATATATACATTATAAAACATATTGGGCTCTCAGGCCCCAAAGGTTTTGTAGGAAAAGAAAAAAAATTTGGGAAAAAAAAAGAAAAAAAAAAAAAACCCGCAAAATAATGGGAAGGGGCTTTTGTGGAATTTTGTCGATGTTGCCGCCAAAACCCCAACCCTTTTCGACAAACTTCTTGGCACTGTATCTCCGGGAAGTATGAATTTTAAGAATTTTTTTTTTTTTTTTCTTATTTTCCTTCACAAAAAAATGCTTTTAATTCTGTAAAAAAAAAATAATTTTTTTTTTTTTTAAAATTTCTTGGACACTGGAAACACCACTTCAGATTTTGGCCTTTTTTTTTTTTTTTTTTTAAAAAATTAAAAAGGGTTAAAAAAAATTATCCCAAAGATGGCCCCGAACAAAATTTTTTCCATGGGTTTTTTGGAAGGGGGTTGTTAATGAAATTTTTTTTTGATTTGGTTTTAAAAATAAATTTTAAAAAGGTTAAAAAAAAAAAAAAAACTATCATTTTTTTTTTTTTAAAAAGTCTTGGGCCCTCTCCCACCGAGGCAGGGTGGGCCCCCCCAGGCAAGGGGGACCCACCGGGGGGCAGGGTGTTCCAAACCCAGGGGAGGGTGACCCACCGAGGGAGGGGTGAAACCCCCCGAGGAAAGGGGGAAACCCCCCGAGGGGAGGGGGACCCCCCGAGGGGAGGGGGGCCCCCCGGGGGCAGGGGGGACCCCCCGAGGCAGGGTGACCCACCCGGGGGCAGGGGGGACCCCGAGGCAGGGTGACCCACCGAGGGAGGGTGACCCACTGAGGCAGGGTGACCCACCGAGGCAGGGAGACCCACCGAGGCAGGGAGACCCACCGAGGCAGGGTGACCCACCGAGGCAGGGTGACCCAAAAAAGAAAGAAAATCCCCAAAAAGAAAATGCTTTCATCATCATTCAACATTTTCACCACACTCACACATAATCACTGTACCTACACACCTACACACACACAACAGGCCTAGTGTCTAATCGACATGTGCCTAGGACAAAATGGTAACTAACTAACGAACTGTTTTTGCAGAGGTGCTCAGAATACAACAGTTTAGAAGCATATACGTATAAAGATACACAACATATCCCTCCAAACTGCCAATATCCCAAACCCCTCCTTTAAAGTGCAGGCATTGTACTTCCCATTTCCAGGACTCAAGTCCGACTATATGAAAATAACTGGTTTCCCTGAATCCCTTCACTAAATATTACCCTGCTCACACTCCAACAGATCGTCAGGTCCCAAGTACCATTCGTCTCCATTCACTCCTATCTAACACTCACGCACGCTTGCTGGAAGTCCAAGCCCCTTGCCCACAAAACCTCCTTTTCTCCTCACTTACCAACGTACTCATTTACCGACGACTCGGACTTACGACAGGCTCTCTGACCAGTATACATACCAAAATAATGTACATTAGAACTGATTTCCTCTATTCTGTTTATTACAATATACAGTGCTCTAATGTATAAACATTTAAAAATATACCAGAAATGTTATAAATGGTACAAAGGTAACATTAAAACAGTATCAAAGATGATTGATACAAACCCACTACCACTGTAGTATGCTCCTCACTTAGCGATGAATTCATTTACCGACGAGGTCTTAGGAACGGAACTCTATCGTTAAGTGAGGAGAGGCTGTACCATTTTTTTTTTTCTGTACCATTTATGTATATTTATTAGTGCAATATTTCTCAAAGACATGGTTTTTAAAGAAATGATTTAAAATTGACTTGTCAATAATGAAATATTAACAAAAATTTCATTAGGATATACACAAGCAACATCAACTGATACAATCAGTCAAGCAATGATGTATTTTTATGAAATGTTTATTACTAGTTTTGTCCCAGTAACAGTCATGTCTACTGACTGAACTCCTCTTTAATGTCTATGTAAGACATAATTTCTTCCAAATTATAAATTCATATATTTTATTTGCATTATAAGCATAACTAGCAATTCTCTTGGGTGACATGGTTAATAATATTGGACAAAGGTGAGATGGACTGATACTAAATATAAAAAGCTTGCTAAACAGGAGGTAAATGATACACAAGGGGACTGAAGCAAGCAACCTTGGTGATATGGGAGGGATGTGGCATTTTCTGGATGGGATGTGTGAAATGCCCTATGCCCAAGTTAAACCCAGACCTGCATGGCATGTCATTTCATAATTTCATATACACTCAAACCCCTGTAGCAAGATAAATGATAATTTGGCCACCTTGCATCAATCATATTGCAACATATATGTGCTGAGAAGAACCTCCATATACATATACTGTATTGGGTTGTACTGTTTATAAAATACACCTCACATCAATCAGCAAGTTGCCCCATGCAATCTTTTCAAAATTTTATCCTAAAATCCTCCACATATTTCTCACGCAGTATTACAATGCATTTAAATACAGAAAAATATGTAATCTTAACTCCACGGGGAAGTGGAACAGAATTCTTCCTCCACAGGTCATGTGTGTTGTAAGAGGCGACTAAAATGCTGGGAGAAAGGGCCTAGTAACCTCTTCTCCTGTACATATTAATAAAATTTAAAAAGAGAAGCTTAATTTTTTTTTCCTGGGCCACCCTGCCTTGGTGGGATATGTCCAGTGTGTTGAAAGAATGAGGATATAATCTTCAGCATAGCTGCTGAAACATAATTAAAAGCAAATGACTTTAAAAATAATTTTTGCTTCTAAATACAGTAGAATTTATCATCATCATTACAGTACATACTTATACAGTACTGATTAGGAAAAACAGATGAATGAGCAGGTACTTGAATCATGGTCCTGGCATGTAACAGGTCCACAGTTTGAGTACTCATCCATTCTTCTTTTTATTCACCGACAGTTGTTCATTATGACTTATCTTGAGTTTAAGTACTGATTATGTTTAGGCTGCAACAATGTAAATTATAATGATAAACATTTATATTATTTAAATTAAAAAAAAAACATACATTACTTAATACTTCTAATACTGTATCTCATACTGTATAACTTTAATCTGTTCATTCAACATCTCATACAAGAATCTTTAAAATTATAGATATCCTACACCTTGGCTGATCAAATGATTTTGTAATCCACATGAGGTCGCTGTTCAGTTCAAAAAGAGAGTTCTGCTTGGTTTGAAATACATTTTTCCATTTTCTTCTTGGTCCAAAAGCTGAATATCGAAGAGTCTGGATGCTAGCCCTGGAGAAAAAAATTGCTCATTTGAATTTGTCTAAATTGTTATAGCTAATGATATACTCTCTCTATTTACTGTCTATCAGTAAATGAATTACTATTTTTCCACATCAATTACATAAGTTGTTTCCAGAGTTATGAAAGGTATCTTAATATCAACAAGATATAGATAGACACTCATGGTGAAAGTTTTACTCGATTAAACGTCTAAAATTTCCAAGACACCATGGACATTATCAATACATACACAGTAATGAGTTAATAAGAGGTACAAGCTTTCTTCCAGTACTATATATATGGACTTACCCCCATGTGCACTTCACTCCATATTCTCTACGTATCAGCTCGTGCACAGCACTCCTCTGCCGGAACCTCATAATTTCCCTCTACAGTGCTAGAATTGAGGTCCTGATGGGTTTTCCTCCTGTTGATGAGTATACAATAAGATACTTTGCCTGACTTTTTTAGGGGGTTATCCCAGGTAAAATAAGATTTTGTTCAGATTTTTAGCCCTGGATTGTTAGCCACCCAGGATAGCCCAAGAAAGTCAATGCATCATTGAGGACTGTCTAACTTATTTCCATTGGGGTCCTCAATCTTGTTCCCCAGGATGCGACCCACACCAGTCGACTAACACCCAGGTACCTATTTGCTGCTAGGTGAACAGGTGTAAGGAAACACGTTGAAATGTTTCCGCTCCGCTGGGAATCGAACCCGGGCCCTCCATGTGTGAAGCGAGAGCTCTAGCCACCAGGCCACTGGGTAATATATACATATGCTGTGGTGCCCTGTGGCCTGGTGGCTAAAGCTCTCACTCCACATGGTGAAGGTCCAGGTTCGATTCCCAGTGACGGTAGAAACATTGGGCGTGTTTCCTTACACCAGTTGTCTATGGTCACCCATCAGTAAAAACAAGTACCTGGGAGCTAGTGGACTGGTGTGGGTCGCATCCTGGGACAAAACTGACCTAATTTGCGGGAAATGTTCAGCATAACAAGCGGCTTTCTATATAGTAGTATGTCATTGATATCAGCTATGGTCTGTATAAGTTGTATCATGTACTGGTAGTAATTAAAGATATTATTACTTTTATTATGTATGATAACTTATATAACTGTACTTATGTGTACTTGTACCTAAACTTACTTATGAATTTAATGTGTAGATTACCTAGGATAACTCAAGGTAATCTACACATGTGCTGCTGTGTATCATGTATCTATATATGAATTTTGAAGGTAACTTCTCTATTTACAATGTAATATCCAGGACCCCAATGGAAATGTCACTTTGTCTGGCTTTTTTGGAAGAGATTATCCTTGGTAATTAACATATGTTACTATGATAATTATATTTGAGTTATCTTGGATAGTCTACACATATGTTGCTATGTATGATAATTTATGTAACTGTATTTATGTGTACTTGTACCTGAATAAACTTACCAGGGCGTCAGCAGGTCAGGAAAAGTCAGCTGTTGACAGACAGAGACTTGTTATTGTTGTTAGGGCCGCCACCACTGACACCGTAATGAACCCTTAAGTTGTTAGGTCTGCCACCACTGATACCGTAATGAACCCTTAAGTTGTTAGGTCCGCCACCATTTATACCGTAATGAACCCTTAAGTCGTTAGGTCCGCCACCACTGACAGATAGATTTCGTTCGGATTTTTAACCCCGGAGGGTTAGCCACCCAGGATAACCCAAGAAAGTCAGTGCGTCATCGAGGACTGTCTGCAGCAAATGGTTAGTAGACAACAAACTATCATTACACCTAGGGAAAACTGAAGCCATTCTCTTTGGCACGAAACATAAACTGAGAAGGGTAAATAATTTTAATGTTCAATGTAATGGGGAGCCCATCACTTTGGTTTCATCAGCAAAATATTTGGGAATCCCCTTTGACCCATGCATGTCAGGAGAATTGATAGGGAACAGTGTAGTAAAGAAAGCGAATGCCAAACTGAAGTTCCTGTATAGACAAGCACAGTGTCTACCTACTGAGACTCGCAGGACCCTATGTCTAGCCCTTATACAATGCCATATGGATTACGCTTGCTCTTCTTGGTACTCTGCCTTGACAAAAAAAACTGAAAGATAGACTGCAAATCACCCAGAACAAAATCGTAAGATTCATCCTGGGGCTGGGACCAAGAGAACATGTAGGCCAGGATGAATTACAGCAGTTGGATATGCTGAATGTTGAAGACAGAGTAAAAACAACTGAAGCTAAATCATGTTTATAAAATTGCTCACAAACAAATGTCCAGAATATCTTGCTGTCAATTTTGTCAAGGTTGGGAACCAAAGCAATCATAGTACTAGGGGGAGAGAGCACAACTTTGTAGTAACCCACAGTCAGTGGCCAGGCTTCAAACACCTTTTATTGTACAGCAATAAAGGAATGGAACAGACTACCGCACATGTCAAAGCCAGTCATAGCGTGAACCAGTTCAAGAAGAGTGCCAAAAGGTGTCTGATGAATGTAGCTACAGAAAGGGAGGGGAATGATTTTCTATTTTTTTAGCTAACATACGTGTAAATTTTACCTTATTCCTTGTAATGACCCTCGTATTGTAGATAGTCTTAATGACCTTGGTGTAGCAGATAGTCTTTTTAGTATGATAATAAGATGTTATCTTCATTGTAGAATAATAAGAAAATATTATAACCTTTATACTATAATAATAAGGTAAAAGGACCCCAATGGAAATAAGTCACTGTCTGACTTTTTTGGGTTATCCTAGGTTCCCTACACATATGCTGCTATGTATGATAATTCTATGTAACTGTATTTGTGTATACCTGAATAAACTTACTTACTTACTTACTTACTAACTTATTTCCATTGGGGTCCTTAATCTTGTCCCCCAGGATGCGACCCACACCAGTCGACTAACACCCAGGTACCTATTTGCTGCTAGGTGAACAGGACAACAGGTGTAAGGAAACGTGTCGAATGTTTCCACCCGCCGGGAATCGAACCCGGACCCTCCGTGTGTGAAGCGCGAGCTTTAGCCACCAGGCCACCGGGCCACCGGGCCACTTATTGACACCGTAATGAACCCTTAAGTTGTTAGGTCCGCCACCACTGATACCGTAATGAACCCTTAAGTTGTTAGGTCCGCCACCATTTATACCGTAATGAACCCTTAAGTCGTTAGGGCCGACACCAATGATACCGTAATGAACCCTTACGTAAGTTAGTAAGTCAGTAAGTCAATAAGTCAGTAAGTAATGTAAGTCAGTAAGTCATTAAGTCAATAAGTTAGTAAGTCAGTAAGTCAATAAGTAAGTCAGTAAGTCAATAAGTAATATAAGTATGTCAGTAAGTCAGTAAGTGAATAAGTCAGTAAGTCAATTAAGTCAGTAAGTCAGTATGTCAGTAAGTCAATAAGTCAGTAAGTCAGTAAGTCAGTAAGTCAATTAGTCAGTAAGTCAGTAAGTCAATGAGTCAGTAAGTCGGTAAGTCAATAAGTCAGTAAGTCAGTAAATCAATGAGTCAGTAAGTCAGTAAGTCAATGAGTAAGTCAGTAAGTCAATGAGTCAATAAGTCAGTAAGTCAGTAAGTCAGTAAGTCAATGAGCCAGTAAGTCAGTAAGTTTTTATAATACAAGTATGTGTACTCCAGGTACACATATATAAAGTTACATAAATTATGATACCTAGCAACATATATGTAAATTACCCAAGATAACCCAAGAAAGTCAAAGTGGCTTATTTCCATTAATATCCACGATATTTACATATATTTTATTTCTACAAAGTACAATTTACAATTGACATAGTTTATAGAAATGCAAATTTTTTTTTAATGTAGCTTTGATGTAGTTGGCAGATTATGATCCTTCGGAATCTTCAAGCAAAAAGTTTCAGATTTTTAGGGCCATTTACCCATTTTTTTGCCTTTTGTCCACATTTTAGAGTCTTTATGCACATTTTAGAACTTTTTAATCCAAATTTAAGACCTTTTATCGAGAGTTTGGGATATTTTATGCACATTTTAGATTTAAGGGCCTTTTATCAAAATTCTGGGGACTTTATGCATAATTTAGGGCCTTTTATCCACATTTTAGGACCCCTGTATCCATATTTTAGGGCCTTTTATCCATGATATTTTTATATCTCGTATTATATATATGAGTTGTAGTTATCAAAGAAAAGTTTCATAACAATGTATAGATAAAAACTGATTTTCTGTATATATAGAATATACATTAGTATGAGTGAATATTATATATATTGAGTAATAAAAAATAACCCACACGTAGGGCTTAATAAAATTTTGTAACAATAATCATGAGAATAATTAGTTTTGATGTTAATTTGTTAATTTAATACCATTGTTTACTTCACCAGAATTTATTTTGTAAATTCTAGTGGAGTAGATTCTAGAATTTACTTAGTAAATTCTAGAATGTCTAGAATTTACTTCGTAAATTCTAGACATTATTTGTGGAAAATTGCATTTATCTGAATGTAACTAATTATGTACATAACAGTAAATGATAACAAAGATAATTATTATTTATCAATGTTACATAGACAAGTAGGAATTTGGGACACCTAGGTCGCAAAAAATGTCCCCCTTCGATACCTACCACTGTCATATCCACAAGTTGCTCTGGACCTATTAATTAAATGAAATATACATACACCAGGAATACTGGTAAATATATGAATTTGTGGACTGTATATTAAAAAATGATTATATATAAATTCACATATACATAACAGAAGGAAAATATATCTTAATATCACTCACCAATTTGACTGGATATTAAGTTGTATCATACTCAGAAAAACCTCACTAACTAAATTTATGAAAACACTGGCCAGAATTATACACAAATCTAGAGAGCTTATCTGAGGTTCCTGGAGCTGTCTTGTCCAGTCGTCTGATATCTCAAGTTATGCAGGAATGCACATCCAACAATTTCGCCTCCTATTTGAGAGGTGTCAACACAATTTTAACCTCTAGAGCACGAGAAATTCTTCCCATTATATTAACGTTGTATCCAATTCAAAACCAAGATGGCGAGTCCCCGTCTACGCAGACGCAGGCTTTCCGTTTTCTATGACATAAATATTATTAAATACAGTATGGCCATCTATTTACATATAAATACTGAATTTCTGGAAAATATATACAGTATTTTCCACATTATTGGTAATTCAGTAAGTTTGTTCATGTACAGGTACGCATAAATACAGTTACACAAATTATCATATATAGTAATATATGTGTAAATTAACTAAGATAACAAAAAAAAAACTCGTATAAAGCGACTTATTTCCATTGGGGTCTTTGGTGACACATTTATATTTATAATAACTGTTATAATAAAAATAGATATGTATACTAAAATGTAAATATTTCCTGATTTATTTACATTGTTTTAATGCTAATTTCTTTAAAAATATATGTTGTTAAAGTGAAACTTTATATATGTTACCCCTCTCTTGCATAAATGGGTAATGTGTCAATTGTTGATTTTTATAATTATATTTTGACGTAAATATATTGTATCACATTAGTAAAATCTGTAATTACTAGTTCATTTATGAGCTAAAGAAATTTCACTTACTGTAACTATTTATTTTAGCTAAAGTTATGACTGAATTTGGGAACCGAAAAAATGTATAAATATCTTTTATGGCATCTGAGCCACATCACAACAACAGGTCAGTATTAACTGTGACGTGAGAGTAGGAGGATGTGGCATCTCCACCTCCCTCTAACACGTTAAAATACCCTAGAATAGTGGAAGGAAGTGCTTAATTCAGCACTTAGGGAAGGTTACTTATGTTAGAGTAATTTGAAGCAAGTGACAGTCGCTGAGATATTTGTGGATTTATTGTTTTTTTTTTCTAAAGTGGCATCTTTGGCAGTGATTGTTTAATTAACACAGTTACTGTGAAGGAAGTTTAGTCGTACCCACAGCTGATGCCCATACCCATACCCATACCCACAGCTAATACGCACACCCAACGCCCATACCCACAACTCACATCTATTACCCACACAGCACCCACACCTAACATACCCACATCTAACACCAATACCCACACAGCACCCACACCTAACATACCCACATTTAAAACCAATACCCACACAGCACCCACAAACCCAACATACCCACATTTAAAACCAATACCCACACAGCACCCACACCTAACATACCCACATTTAACACCAATACCCACACAGCACCCACACCTAACATACCCACATTTAAAACCCAATACCCATTAACCAAACCCACACAGCACCCACACCTAACATACCCACATTTAACACCAATACCCACACAGCACCCACACCTAACAAACCCACATCTAACACCAATACCCACACAGCACCCACACCTAACAAAAACCCCAACAACCCCCAATAACAACCCACACTAACATACCCACACAGCACCCACACCTAACATACCCACACAAGCACCCACACAAACAAAAACCCACACAACCCCCACAAAATACCCACACCCCAAACCCACACCAACATACCCACACCTAACACCATACCCACACAGCACCCACACCTAACATACCCACACAGCACCCACACCTAACATACCCACATCTAACACCAATACCCACACAGCACCCACACCTAACATACCCACATTTAACACCAATACCCACACCTAACATACCCACACAGCACCCACACCTAACATACCCACATCTAATACCAATACCCACACCTAACATACCCACATCTAATACCAATACCCACACAGCACCCACACCTAACATACCCACAGAGCACCCACACCTAACATAACCCACACAGCACACCACACCTAACATACCCACACAGCACCCACACCTAACATACCCACACAGCACCCACACCTAACATACCCACACACAGCACCCACACCTAACATACCCACACAGCACCCACACCTAACATACCCACATCTAACACCAGTACCCACACAGCACCCACACCTAACATACCCACACAGCACCCACACCTAACATACCCACACAGGCACCCACAACCTAACATACCCACATCTAACACCAATAACCCACACATCACCCACACCTAACATACCCACATTTAAACACCAATACCCACACCTAACATACCCACACAGCACCCACACCTAACATACCCACACAGCACCCACACCTAACATACCCACACAGCACCCACACCTAACATACCCACACAGCACCCACACCTAACATACCCCACACAGCACCCACACCTAACATACCCACACAGCACCCACACCTAACATACCCACACAGCACCCACACCTAACATACCCACACAGCACCCACACCTAACACACCCACATTACCACCAATACCCACACCTAACATACCCACACAGCACCCACACCTAACATACCCACACAGCACCCACACCTAACATACCCACATCTAATGCTAATACCCACACAGCACCCACACCTAACATACCCACACAGCACCCACACCTAACATACCCACACGCAGCCATACAGAGCCATGGGTGGATACATCGACTCCCAGACGTGGGAGGTGAGTGCAGTGCCTCATAATACTGTTCATATAGACTTAACATTATTATGTTCTATGACCCCTGTGGCTTAGGTGCCTAATTTTTATTGTAATAATAAATATTATTACTTTGCTCATCCTGTTATATTTTTCAGAAAACATTTCCAAAGTACAGTACTTAATACATATATACTGTAAGATAAGATAAGATAAGATTTCGTTTGGATTTTTAACCCCGGAGGGTTAGCCACCCAGGATAACCCAAGAAAGTCAGTGCGTCATCGAGGACTGTCTAACTTATTTCCATTGGGATCCTATTCTTGTCCCCCAGGATGCGACCCACACCAGTCGACTAACACCCAGGTACCTATTTGCTGCTAGGTGAACAGGACAACAGGTGTAAGGAAACGTGTCGAAATGTTTCCACCCGCCGGGAATCGAACCCGGGCCCTCCGTGTGTGAAGCGGGAGCTTAAGCCACCAGGCCACCGGGCCATCAATTAGTTTAAACACTGAAATATGGGAATACTTCTCATATGATGCAATTTTTTTTTTTTTTTACAAAATTATATGACAGTATATATGTAAGTTTATTTAGGTACAGGTACACATAAGTACAATTCTTATACATAGTAATATACTGCATAATTACAATCGTGCAATAAAAAATGCAAAATAACCACAGGGGAAGTTGAATGATGCCTCTATGCCTTTTGTGTTGCAATCAACACATCATTAGGAGCTTGCAATGTTGCAGAAATAGAGGAGGAAATCTATGCAGATTCGTTCAGGGAAACTACTCCAGAATTCTGGAGAGTCATTTACCTGAGAGAATCTGCCTGGACTTCCATGAACTTGCACCTGTGTGTTTAAGTCATGGATAACCAGACTGACATTCTGCTTATCCAGAAGTGTACACTAAGCCTTTAAATGTTAAGCTACTTCATATTAAGTGCTAAACCCATGTGGGTCATGAAGAGCAACAAGTCATGGAGGCTTGATCCTCCATCTGCTCAGTGAGAGACAGACACACTTCCTATTTGTACTTGCCTATTCTTCTAAAATAATAATCTCACCAGGAGTTGAACCCGAGTCTGCTGCTTTAAGACAGCCGTACTGACCACTGCACCACAGAGCAGTGTTAAATGTTAAGCTACAAGAACTAGTGTTTTTGAGTGTGATGCTTGAGCCCCTTCAAGGTGCTGATCTTCAGATCCTGGGCATTTTGGGAGGGTTAAGCTATATTTTCTGGGACTCTGCCACTTCAGGGTTTTGAGGTACAGCTACTATGCCTCTTGCATGCATTGAGGTACAAAGTGCTGGGGTTATAGGATATGGGAGATACCTTTATTGGATCACACAGTGACTGAAACAAGAGTAGTGTCTTGTGGCTCACTTGGTAGCCACTTACCTCACACACTGATGGTTCATGGTTCAATCCCCAGCACAAATGGAAACATTGAGTATGTTTCCTTACACACCTGCTGCCCCTGTTCACCTAGCAGTTAGTAGGTATCTGGGTGTTAGATGACTTGTGGGTTGCATCCTGGAGAAGAGGATTAAAGGATTCCAATGGATAAGACAGTCTTCAATGGCTTCCTGACTTTATTGGGTTATCCTGGGTTAATACTACTTACTAACCATCCAGCTTAATAATTTAAGCAAAATTGCCATCGTCTTAATGCATGCCAGAAGCTTTTAAATATAAAAATGGCCTACATTTGTGCCTAAATGAGATGCATTAAAAATCATTAATTCTGTTTAGCTTTGATAGGTTAACCAAGATTAAATCATCATTCCTTGTTACTATTGTATGCCTATATCTGTAATAATAATTAACTTAAGTTATTGTATAATATTATTATATCATTATTATTATTAGTTTATCATTATATTCATGGAGAAGCTTTAAGCCTGTTGTAATAGAATTATGAACAGTATAACAATATAAAAAATGTAAATACTGTATAAGCAAAATATATCTCTCATTCCCTAGTTTGGTCATTATTACATACAAAATACTCAAACAAGTGTATAATTATTTTAATCAGTTTTTTTTAGTCAAGACTTGATTAGAAGTATTATTTCTAATACATTCTTCTTTATTTATTGTAATTTTCATTCTTTCAACTAAGGGCTGCACCTGTACTTATCTAATGTCTGATCTCTTAGGCCTGGCTTGAATCGTATGAGGTATTGTGGGACAATACGTCTCTCGTCTTCGTGGCATCAGTAATACTCTCACTGGTTTTGGTTGTTGCCACCTGGCTGATGAACACCCCACACCACAGCAGTAACCATGGGCAGCAGAACAAGGGTGAGATGGAAAAATTGAAGGATATTCAGGAAATGAATTTAGAAGGAGACTCGGAACAAGAGTTGGAGGAGGAAAATGAAAAGGTTGGTAGACAGCAACCACCCAGGGAAGTACTACCGTCCTGCCAGATGACTGTGAAACAGAAACCTGTAACTGTTTTACATGATGGTAGGATTGCTGGTGTCTTTTTCTGTCTCATAAACACGCTAGATAACAGGGATATCTTGCTACTCCAACTTACACTTTGGTCACACTTCAGACATGCACATGCATATATATATACATACATCTAGGTTTTTCTCCTTTTTCTACATAGCTCTTGTTCTTCTTTATTTCTTCTATTGTCCATGGGGAAGTGGAAAAGAATCTTTCCTCCGTAAGCCATGCGTGTCATATGAGGCGACTAAAATGCCGGGAGCAATGGGCTAGTAACCCCTTCTGTAGACATTTACTAAAAAAGAGAAGAAGAAAAACTTTATAAAACTGGGATGCTTGAATGTGCGTGGATGTAGTGCAGATGACAAGAAACAGATGATTGCTGATGTTATGAATGAAAAGAAGTTGGATCTCCTGGCCCTAAGCGAAACAAAGCTGAAGGGCGTAGGGGAGTTTCGGTGGGGGGAAATAAATGGGATTAAATTTGGAGTATCTGAGAGAGTTAGAGCAAAGGAAGGGGTAGCAGTAATGTTGAATGATCAGTTCTGAAGGAGAAAAGAGAATATGAATGTGTAAAGCAAGAATTATGTGGATTAAAGTAAAGGTTGGATGCGAGAAGTGGGTCATAATATGCGTGTAATGCACCTGGAGAAGAGAGCAATGCAGAGGGAGAGAGAGAGATTTTGGGAGATGTTAAGTGAATGTATAGGAGCCTTTGAACCAAGTGAGAGAGTAATTGTGGTAGGGGACCTGAATGCTAAAGTAGGAGAAACTTTTAGAGAGGGTGTGGTAGGTAAGTTTGGGGTGCCAGGTGTAAATGATAATGGGAGCCCTTTGATTGAACTTTGTATAGAAAGGGGTTTAGTTATAGGTAATACATATTTTAAGAAAAAGAGGATAAATAAGTATACAAGATATGATGTAGGGCAAAATGACAGTAGTTTGTTGGATTATGTATTGGTAGATAAAAGACTGTTGAGTAGACTTCAGGATGTACATGTTTATAGAGGGGCCACAGATATATCAGATCACTTTCTAGTTGTAGCTACACTGAGAGTAAAAGGTAGATGGGATACAAGGAGAATAGAAGCATCAGGGAAGAGAGAGGTGAAGGTTTATAAACTAAAAGAGGAGGCAGTTAGGGAAAGATATAAACAGCTATTGGAGGATAGATGGGCTAATGAGAGCATAGGCAATGGGGTCGAAGAGGTATGGGGTAGGTTTAAAAATGTAGTGTTAAGAGTGTTCAGCAGAAGTTTGTGGTTACAGGAAAGTGGGTGCGGGAGGGAAGAGGAGCGATTGGTGGAATGATGATGTAAAGAGAGTAGTAAGGGGAGAAAAAGTTAGCATATGAGAAGTTTTTACAAAGTAGAAGTGATGCAAGGAGGGAAGAGTATATGGAGAAAAAGAGAGAGGTTAAGAGAGTGGTGAAGCAATGTAAAAAGAGAGCAAATGAGAGAGTGGGTGAGATGTTATCAACAAATTTTGTTGAAAATAAGAAAACGTTTTGGAGTGAGATTAACAAGTTAAGGAAGCCTAGAGAACAAATGGATTTGTCAGTTAAAAATAGGAGAGGAGAGTTATTAAATGGAGAGTTAGAGGTATTGGGAAGATGGAATATTTTGAGGAATTGTTAAATGTTGATGAAGATAGGGAAGCTGTGATTTCGTGTATAGGGCAAGGAGGAATAACATCTTGTAGGAGTGAGGAAGAACCAGTTGTGAGTGTGGGGGAAGTTCGTGAGGCAGTAGGTAAAATGAAAGGGGGTAAGGCAGCCGGGATTGATGGGATAAAGATAGAAATGTTAAAAGCAGGTGGGGATATAGTTTTGGAGTGGTTGGTGCAATTATTTAATAAATGTATGAAAGAGGGTAAGGTACCTAGGGATTGGCAGAGAGCATGCATAGTTCCTTTGTATAAAGGCAAAGGGACAAAAGAGAGTGCAAAAATTATAGGGGATAAGTCTGTTGAGTATACCTGGTAAAGTGTATGGTAGAGTTATTATTGAAAGAATTAAAAGTAAGACTGAGAATAGGATAGCAGATGAACAAGGAGGCTTTAGGAAAGGTAGGGGGTGTGTGGACCAGGTGTTTACAGTGAAACATATAAGTGAACAGTATTTAGATAAGGCTAAAGAGGTCTTTGTGGCATTTATGGATTTGGAAAAGGCGTATGACAGGGTGGATAGGGGGGCAATGTGGCAGATGTTGCAGGTGTATGGTGTAGGAGCTAGGTTACTGAAAGCAGTGAAGAGTTTTTACGAGGATAGTGAGGCTCAAGTTGGAGTACATAGGAAAGAGGGAAATTATTTCCCAGTAAAAGTAGGCCTTAGACGGGGATGTGTGATGTCACCGTGGTTGTTTAATATATTTATAGATGGGGTTGTAAGAGAAGTAAATGCGAGGGTCTTGACAAGAGGCATGGAGTTAAAAGATAAGGAATCACACATAAAGTGGGAGTTGTCACAGTTGCTCTTTGCTGATGACACTGTGCTCTTGGGAGATTCTGAAGAGAAGTTGCAGATTGGTGGATGAATTTGGTAGGGTGTGCAAAAGAAGAAAATTAAAAGTGAATACAGGAAAGAGTAAGGTTATGAGGATAAAAATATTAGGTGATGAAAGATTGGATATGAGATTGGAGGGAGAGAGTATGGAGGAGGTGAATGTATTCAGATATTTGGGAGTGGACGTGTCAGCGGATGGGTCTATGAAGGATGAAGTGAATCATAGAATTGATGAGGGGAAAAGGGTGAGTGGTGCACTTAGGAGTCTGTGGAGACAAAGAACTTTGTCCTTGGAGGCAGAGGGGAATGTATGAGAGTATAGTTTTACCAACACTCTTATATGGGTGTGAATCATGGGTGATGAATGTTGCAGTGAGGAGAAGGCTGGAGGCAGTGGAGATGTCATGTCTGAGGGCAATGTGTGGTGTGAATATAATGCAGAGAATTCGTAGTTTGGAAGTTAGGAGGAGGTGCGGGATTACCAAAACTGTTGTCCAGAGGGCTGAGGAAGGGTTGCTGAGGTGGTTCGGACATGTAGAGAGAATGGAGCGAAACAGAATGACTTCAAGAGTGTATCAGTCTGTAGTGGAAGGAAGGCGGGGTAGGGGTCGGCCTAGGAAAGGTTGGAGGGAGGGGGTAAAGGAGGTTTTGTGTGCGAGGGGCTTGGACTTCCAGCAGGCGTGCGTGAGCGTGTTTGATAGGAGTGAATGGAGACGAATGGTTTTTAATACTTGACATGCTGTTGGAGTGTGAGCAAAGTAACATTTATGAAGGGGTTCAGGGAAACCGGCAGGCCGAACTTGAGTCCTGGAGATGGGAAGTACAGTGCCTGCACTCTGAAGGAGGGGTGTTAATGTTGCAGTTTAAAAACTGTAGTGTAAAGCACCCTTCTGGCAAGACAGTGATGGAGTGAATGATGGTGAAAGTTTTCCTTTTTCAGGCCACCCTGCCTTGGTGAGAATCGGCCAGTGTGATAATAAAAAAAAAATAATAAGAACAGTGAAGTGCATAGTTAAAGTTTAAATGGCTACATGAGAAATGACAAAAGAGTGTAAAATAGGTGAAAGGCTATGAGCAATGATAAGGATGACTAAAACAATATATGCAGAAGATGAAGCACAAATAAAGAGAGTATGAGAAAAGCTTATTTGTTTAGAACACATTTTTAGCACTTAGTTATTTTTTTTTATTAACACAATAGCCATTTTCCACCAAGGTAGGGTGGCCCAAAAAAGAAAAACTTTCGTCATCATTCACTCCATCACTGTCTTGCCAGAGGTGCACTTACACCACAGTTATAAAATTCCAACATTAACACCCCACCTCGCTTATTTATGATTATAAAAATAATAATTAACACTCTATGAAGCACCATATGAAGCATTCTAGCAGGTGGCCATCAGTATACTGCCTGGTGCCACTACAGTATTGATTTCCCATCTCCAGCTATCCACTACAAATTAAGGAGTATTGATATCTTGATGCGTTCCTGTCATATAGATTATCCGAAGACATGATAATTTTTCTCTTTGTTTTTGTTCAATAGTTGTATCCCAAAAGATTGTGAACATATTAAGCAATAAGGATTTGTGAACATATTAAGCAATAAGGATTTGTGAACATATTAAGCAATATTATATATAAGCATATTTAATGGTAGCTATATATATACTGTATGGTCTTCACCCTTCAAAGGGGAGGGGTGTCTTGATGCTGGTGAAGGGCTCTTGATCCTTCCTTGGGTCAAACCTGATTGCAGCCCATTCCCGTGAAATTGTATGGCCCTCTATAGGTTTAGCACTTACTTCCTGAGGTGGTTTGGGCATTTAAAGAGGGTGGAATACAAGAGGATGTATAAGGTTGGGATGGACAGTAAAGTAAAGTAAAGAAAGAATGGGTAGAAAGGGTTGGAGGGGGGGGGAAAGAAGGTTTTAAGTGCTAGTGGCTTGAGCATCCAGCACGCTTGTGTGAATGCTAGATTGGAGTGAATGGAGATACTGTACTGTAATTGATGTACTGTAGTGTGAGATAGTTAACATTTATGAAGGGATTCAGGAAAACCAGTTAGCCAGACTTGAGTCCTGGAGGCAAGGAGTACAGTGCTTGCACTCAGAAGGACGGGTGGAGTTATTGCAGTTCAAGGGGTCATTTAAGTTATGATATTTGTGCACTTCTGACAAGACATCTATTGAGTAGTGAATACTTTTTTTTTCTTTATCGGGTCACCCTACCTCAGTGACAGATAGCCGGTGTTAAAAAATGCAATGGTTGGGTGTGAGTAAGACCTACCTAGGATGAACAAGTAGGTCTACTGCAGTGCTCCTTTATTCACACGTTTGTTAATTGTTTTGTCTGCTATTTATCTGTTTTTGTCATAAATATTGTGAAGGTTTCTGTGCGATTTTTAAATTTTCAATACCTTTTTCCCAGTTCTGGTTAAAATACATTTTGCATCAGAACCATTTAATCCTTTTGAAGGTCCCTCAAAAAGTAGGACTTTTGGCAAGTCAGGTGTCAGCCTTTACATGCTGTCAGGTTATATTTGAATGTTTGTGGTACTTGTTTTCTTGCTTCATGGTGCAGCTGATGTCTTATTAATTGTACAACTGTGAAACTGAATTGCAATCCAATGGATATATATACACAAATAACCCGCACATAAAAGAGAGAAGCTTACGACGACGTTTCGGTCCGACTTGGACCATTTACAAAGTCACACTAACCAGAAGTGGAGCAGGACGGCTATATATAGGCAGGAAGAGGTGGTGGTAGTAGTAGTAGTACAAGAATGGTATATAATACCGACAAGATGAAATATACATAGCTGAAATATTACCAGCAAATCATAAGTACATAGTTGTACAGTACATGTATATGATTAACCCTTGGTGGAGGAGAATTCTTGAAAGCAGCATTAAAAGGTACTGATAAAGGAAAATATTTATTCTTTTATATTATTTTTTTTTTTTAACATGAGTAATCTGCCATCTTTGACTTGCTTTCATAAAGTTACTTATATTTTTTTAATTCACCACATTATTATTATAATCAAGGGGAAGTGCTAAACCCGTAAGATTATACAGCGCCTGGGGGGGAATGTGGAAGGCATTCAGGCTTAATTCGGGGAACTGGAGCACAGATCTAATTCCCTAAACCAAGAGCCCCTCACCAACATCAAGGAACCTTCCCTGAGGGGTTAATTCACCACAGTAAATCAGTTGTTGAAAAAGTTGTCAAATGTACTTATTGTACTTGGGTTTTATTAACATCCAATCATGTGTTTCTTGTACATATCAGTTCTTCACAAAAATCCATTCTTACTTATTTTTGTAACTTGTATAGAAACTTTGTTTCATTTCTTATACTATCCTCATTTGCTTTTATATTCACATTCATTACCTTTGTTTAGGTATTTTATTTTTAGCTTATTAAGTTCACTTCAGTTCACTGGTCACCAAAAATCCTTCACTTGTCAGAAAATTGTATTTACACCAAATCATTTATTATGTAATCATTCTGCTACATTTTTCTTTCTCATGTTATCACACAAATATTTCTCAGTTTACGTTCTTTTGTAATATTATGTTCACTTTCCAGAGTATCGAGAAATTGTTGGAGATGAATCAGTGTTTTCCTGGGGAGATGAGGAAGGTACCACGACGGGTCTTGGAGAAAACTGTCGAGAAGCAAATGAGTGAGGAACAGAGACAGGCAGAAAGGGAGTAAGCAAGAGATGGATTATGTTTTATCACTATGTTCAATGTAATATATAATATACAGTACATAAGAGTAGTAGTAGTAGTGTTATAGTCTATGTCTAATTCATATATTGTAGCAGTACTGCAGTACTAATTGACCAGTATGAGTTTATCACTCTTTTTAATATATTAAGGCATTAAAAATACATTTAATAATTCTTAAATTAACTTTTTTATTATTATGGATCTATATTCATGGTTTTTAATGATACTTCATTTTATACTGATTTTGTATGCAATTATAAATAAAAATTTAAAAAATAGGGAAGCAAATGGTAGATGTAGCTAAAATAAGTACAGTAACATAATTTATTCCTTTAAAGGGTACAATCTCAGCAGTTGGCAGCCATTTTCAAGATGATGCAAGACCAAGAGGATAAATTTGGACAGACAACAATCGATGAAATAAAGGACCAAATGAAGCTGTATTGCAGTTAACTGGATTCATCAAAGGGATACAGCTCAGTCCTATTTATTGCACTATAATCCCTAAAAAATGTATAATTCATTTGAGCAGAGATAAACTGCAGATTCTTTGATTAATTCTTTTAAAGTGTTTCTTTTGGGTCACCCTGCCTTGGTGGGAGACGGCCAGTGTGTTGAAAAAAAAACATACTTATTTATATATACGTACATATTTGAATGTATACATATATTTTGGACACAAATGAGATGCTAAGCACACAGTAGGCTTAGAATATTTATTGCTCTTGTACCAGAGTTTGGCAGATATTCTGTGTTCGTGTTTGTGTGTGCACACAGTAGTCATGTGTTAAGTGATCTAGAGAAATTAGCTTTCTCATAGCATAAACAAGTACCAGTCCAAGATATTCTTGGCCACTGATTTGCATACAGGCAGAGTTTCTGTAATGTGAGTGCAAGAACACTTAGCTCTGGGAACAAGCAGAATTCAAACCCATGACAAGCCAGTCAGTGTTTTACTACTAGACCACACAGGCTTAGTAAAATTCATCCAATTTTATAAAGTGGATGTCCTCTTAATCACCTAGATAGGAACTGGAGGAATGGTTTGTTAACTGAATTACATTTTCCTCATAGAAGCACATGCTGTAACTTGGGAACAGGACAGAGACAATAATATTCCGTAATCTGGTTAGCTGGATTTGAGTCCTGGAGGTGGGAAGTACAATGCCTGCACTTGAAAAGGGGTTTGGGATATTTGCTGTTTAAAGTGACATCTAAACTGTTGTATCTGTATGGCTCTGCATAGACAGTGATTGTGTGAATGATGGTGAAAGTTTCTTTTTTTCTGGGTCACCCTACCTCAGTGGGAGACAGCCAGCCTGTTAAAAAATAAAACTTTACAGTAGTCGATGGTGTTACTTTTCTCAGTAATTTGATGATTTATATTTCGTGTGTTGTGCTTTTGTAGCTGTATAGCCCTTGTGGTTTAGTGCTTCTTTGAGATTCTTCTTTCTTTCAACACACTGGCCATATCCCACCGAGGCGGGGTGGCCCAAAAGGAAAAACAAAAGTTTCTCCTTTTACATTTAGTAATATATACAGGAGAAGGGGCTACTAGCCCCTTGCTCCCGGCATTTTAGTCGCCTCTTACAATACGTATGGCTTGTGGAGGAAGAATTCTGTTCCACTTCCCCATGGAGGTAAGAGGAAATAAACAAGAACAAGAAGAAAGAAAATAGAAGAAAACCCAGAGAGGTGTGTATATATTGCTTGTACATGTATGCGTAGTGTGACCTAAGTGCAAGTAGAAGTAGCAAGACGTACCTGAAATCTTGCATGTGTATGAGGCAAAAAAAGACACCAGCAATCCTACCATCGTGTAAAACAATTACAGGCTTCCATTTTACACTCACTTGGCAGGACGGTAGTACCTCCCTGGGCAGTTGCTGTCTACCAACCTACTACCTAGGTTCTTTGAGATTATAATAATAATATGCTTTTGTAAAACAAAAGGAAAGGGGGTGCATAACACCATTATGCTTCTTCTATGAAGGTAGGGAGAAGTGGTGGGAGGTACAGTATGTAATATGACAACCCCTTTCTCACAGACGTGAACAGATTTGTTCTTTGAGATGGGGAGAGGCCACAACCTTGTATCTGGCAGTTGTATGAACACAGAGGATTAATTAACCCTTAAACTGTCCAAATGTAGATCTATGTTTGCACGCGTAGCACTCTGAACGTAGATCTAAATTTTTTTTTTACATGTTTATGGAGAAAATCGAAGTTGGAGCACTATACCCGCAAACGTAGATCTATGTTTGGACAGTTAAATGGATTGGGAGGGTTCCAAGTTTTTCTTTGTAGTTACTGTATTTGAAAATTTATGTGAACGGTTGTTAAGCAAAGGTGTACTAAATTTCTGTACACTAAACAGTTTAGTATGTGCCCCACCATGACCACAATTGCAAGTTTTTATGGATGCATCTCACAGCCAGAGATGAGATCTAGTTCAAGTTCTGGGTTTAGCGCTTCTTTTTGATTCTAATAAGAATGATTGTGTGAATGATGGTGAGTGTTGAATGATGGGAAAAGTGTTTGTTTTGGGTCACCCTGCTCAGTGGGAAATGGCCAACGTGTGAAAAAAAAATAATAGCTAAAGTTCCTCAAATCCTTTATCATTGACTTGTAAAAATGGTAAACGCGATTTTTGCGGGTCATTGCAAATTGCTTTGAAGGTGCAAGAGTTAGATCTCGTTGCTACAGTGCGAGTGCAAAATTTGTAAATGGAAACTTGGCTTTGTGGTTAAGGGTTAACTCCTAATGTGCAGTAATGCCTAGTTATCCGAATCTTGAGACTGTGCAGTCTAGTAAAGCACTAGTCTACAAGTTTAATGACTAACTTGCCTTGAGTAGGTCCTGCCTGTTCCCCAGAGTTGTTTATGATCTTGTTATACTGTAGTATATGATTTTCATGAAAAACATGAATTTCACGAGTTTATCGATAAGGCCATACTTGTTACACGACCAACCAATTTTCTACATCTTGCCTACCTTCTACTAAAATAATAAGCATGAAGATCAAGGCAACTTTAGATATTTTTATGTCAAGGTAACTGTTAACAATAATTAATGCACAAATTACACTGCTGGAAGGTGAATAAACTATAGTATTGTCTAGTAGGGAATGTCTATTGACTACATTAGCATTAAAATTTTTATTTGTATCACGCATGACCCATCAAAGGTGGGGGTACGTTGATGCTTGAAGGGTTTTTAATCCAAGGAATTGGATCTACCCTCCCTTTCCTTGGATCTAACCAGATTATCTCCCATCCCCTTCTGATCTAATACTTGCCCATCAAAATAATAAAGATGAGCACAAGGGTGATATACTTGTAGCTCTTGCAGAAAGCATCGATTGTCATCAGGGAAGGTTCTTCCTGCTGGTGAGGAGGCTCTTCATCTGAGGAATTGAACCTGCCTCCCATTTCCCAAGGTGCTATATAACCCCTACAGGTTGAAGATCCCTCACAATTATGATAGTCAATAGAAAGTAGGTACATAAATATATTTTAATTGAAATGAGCCTGTGAAAGAAGAAAATTTTTATTCATTTTGGGTTGTACTGTTTTGTTGGTAATCTTAAGAATATTTTAAAATCAAACCCAGTTATCATATTTAACTTCATTACATTATTATTATCATTATAATCAAGGGGGAAGCGCTAAACCCAGAGGATTATACAGCGCCTGGGGAGGGGATGTGGAAGGCATTCAGGCTTAATTCGGGGAACTGGAGCACAGATCCAATTCCCTAAATCAAGAGCCCCTCACCAACATCAAGGAACCTTCCTTGAGGGGAACTTCATTACAGAAAGATCTTTTATTCCTCTTGACCCTTGTGGGTTTATTACTTAGGTCTGATTTTAATATTCCTCTTGGTTCCATAAGCTACCATCTTAAATCCAGCCAAGGTTTGACTGGATTTAAGAGGTCAGAGTCCCAAATCAAGAGCCCCTTCACTGTGTTTAGGGAAATCCTTGAAGGGGTAATACGCTGAGCCTTTATTTGGTTTTCCAGTTCTACAACTACAGAAATTAGGCCAAGGAAAACAAAAATAGTAACATGCACCATAAGGCTACCATTCAGTATGTATTTTTGTAGGTACTAGTCAGTCATTATTGCAGGATAAGTCAGCTTGGCATGAAGTGCCAACCTGCAAAACAATTCTTAAAAATATTATCCAAAGATTAGGTGATGAAGGATTGGATATCAGATTGGAGGGAGAGAGTATGGAGGAGGTGAATGTATTCAGATATTTGGGAGTGGACGTGTCAGCGGATGGGTCTATGAAAGATGAGGTGAATCATAGAATTGATGAGGGGAAAAGGGTGAGCGGTGCACTTAGTCTGTGGAGACAAAGAACTTTGTCCATGGAAGCAAAGAGGGGAATGTATGAGAGTATAGTTTTTCCAACACTCCTGTATGGGTGTGAAGCATGGGTGATGAATGTTGCAGCGAGGAGAAGGCTGGAGACAGTGGAGATGTCATGTCTGAGGGCAATGTGTGGTGTGAATATAATGCAGAGAATTTGTAGTTTGGAAGTTAGGAGGAGGTGCGGGATTACCAAAACTGTTGTCCAGAGGGCTGAGGAAGGGTTGTTGAGGTGGTTCGGACATGTAGAGAGAATGGAGCAAAACAGAATGACTTCAAGAGTGTATCAGTCTGTAGTGGAAGGAAGGTGGGGTAGGGGTCGGCCTAGGAAAGGTTGGAGGGAGGGGGTAAAGGAGGTTTTGTGTGCGAGGGGCTTGGACTTCCAGCAGGCATGCGTGAGCGTGTTTGATAGGAGTGAATGGAGACGAATGGTTTTTAATACTTGACGTGCTGTTGGAGTGTGAGCAAAGTAACATTTATGAAGGGGTTCAGGGAAACCGGCAGGCCGGACTTGAGTCCTGGAGATGGGAAGTACAGTGCCTGCACTCTGAAGGAGGGTGTTAATGTTGCAGTTTAAAAACTGTAGTGTAAAGCACCCTTCTGGCAAGACAGTGATGGAGTGAATGATGGTGAAAGTTTTTCTTTTTCGGGCCACCCTGCCTTGGTGGGAATCGGCCAGTGTGATAATAATAATAATAAAAAATGAAAGTATAATTTCATTTATAACTTAACATTTCCATAAATTTGATATTTATGAAGCACCAAGGTCTGTGCACAGTATTCTCAAAAGTATTAACATTTTACATGCCTTACAAGGACAAGAATAATAGCATTAAATTTTCAAAGTGACTTTAATTTAAAGGGATATAAAACATCCACATAACTTATCTGATTTATAAGTCATAAAAAATGAGGGGCTAAAACTCCTATTGAAGAATTGTATCATCAACCAAAATGAATTATAAATACACATTTCTCTCCAACTCATCTGTGGGGGTTTCATACAAAATACATTTTTTATAATTAACAAGTGGTATCCTTTTAAATATATACTGTACAATATACATTTTTTTCATTTTGAGTTATTCTACAACAATCAGTTCATTGGCTTCATCATCGTCGTACTCATTCTGCGACGGTCGTGGTTCTCCCGACTCCGCCTCCCCATCTGCTGCCGCTTCATTCTCCTCTTCCATTTCATTAGATGGAGACTGCTCTACTGTTTGCTTATTGAAAAGGTCAAGAGTAACTGCAGATAAGAAGGCTGGATATGAATTCTGATGGTGAAGATAAGCATCAATGAGATCTTCAAGCGTACTTGAGAAATCGGTCTCTAAAAGTTGCAGCTCCTTTTTTGGCGTTTCCTAGAAAAAGAGAGAGATTCATTTGTAGTCACATTTTCCAATATTACATAAGCTGAGGACATGTTGGGGTAATAATTTCTCTAAACTGTGATGCACTGACCATTTGTTAAAACATTTTTTTGGTTCCATTGCTACTTAAAAAATAATAGTAATTAGAGCCTTCGGTTATCTGCCTTCTAGAAAACTTTCTCTCCCTTTCTGCTCTTCCAGGGATTTGTAGTGTAAAGTCATCACCTTTCAACATTTCTTCCTTTAGCCTCGTTTAAATCAAGCCCCCATCCGTGTTAAGATATCTTTTGGATGTTATCCGATACTCTACTTTAGCAATGAATGGGCAACTTGGCCTTTTTTATGGGCTATTCTATTACAAAGAGATGCTTAATTATACCTTTATTGAGAGCAAATATGTTTTATAATAGATACAAGAAAAACATGAATGACCAATTTTTTTTTTTTCAACTATCCTAAATTTATGTTATCCTGATATTTCCATCACTATTTACAATTACCGCAGGTTATTTTTGATAGTCAATATTCCCAGTAGTAACCACCATCTTAACTTATAATTTATGCAATTGCTTTCTACATGCATATGTTAAACCCATACATGTATAGTATTTTTTTTTTTTCTTTTTTAACAAGTCGGCCGTCTCCCACCAAGGCAGGGTGACCCGAAAAAGAAAAACTTTCACCATTATTCAACACTTTCACCTCACTCACACATAATCACTGTTTTTGCAGAGGTGCTCAAAACACAACAGCTTAGAAGCATATAGTATTATGTCCATTTAAATTATTTTGGCTTGATTCTCAAATTTTACTGCAATCTGTCATTTCCTAACTCTGAGTCAGTGTTAAACACTTTTCCTGGTAAAAACTGTTTGCTTGGATTTTTTTTTTCTGAATTGAGAGGTGCACTTTGGAATTCTTCCATGCCATATTTCTGCCATATACCAAGAGAGTATGGAGGAGTATGGAAGAAGTTGACGTGTCAGCAGATGGATTTATGAACGATGAGGTTAATCATAGAATTGATGAAGGAAAAAAGGCGAGTGGTGCATTGAGGTATATGTGGAGACAAAAAAACGTTATCTATGGAGGCAAAGAAGGGAATGTATGAAAGTATAGTAGTACCAACACTCTTATATGGGTGTGAAGCTTGGGTTGTAAATGCTGCAGCGAGGAGACGGTTGGAGGCAGTGGAGATGTCCTGTCTAAGGGCAATGTGTGGTGTAAATATTATGCAGAAAATTTGGAGTGTGGAAATTAGGAGGTGTGGAGTTAATAAAAGTATTAATCAGAGGGCTGAAGAGGGGTTGTTGAGGTGGTTTGGTCATTTAGAGAGAATGGATCAAAGTAGAATGACAAGGAGAGCGTATAAATCTGTAGGGGAAGGAAGGCCAGGTAGGGGTCATCCTCGAAAAGGTTGGAGGAAGGGGGTAAAGGAAGTTTTGTGGGCGAGGGGTTTGGACTTCCAGCAAGCGTGTGTGAGCGTGTTAGATAGGAGTGAATGGAGATGAATGGTTTTTGGGATCTGATGAGGTGTTGGAGTGTGAGCAGGGTAATATTTAGTGAAGGGATTCAGGGAAACCGGTTATTTTTATATAGCCAGATTCGAGTCCTGGAAATGGGAAGTACAATGCCTGCACTTCAAAGGAGGGGTTTGGGATACTGGAAGTTTAGAGGGATATGTTGTGTATCTTTATACGTATATGCTTCTAAACTGTTGTATTCTGAGCACCTCTGCAAAAATGGTGATTATGTTTAAGTGAGGCGAGTGTTGAATGATGAAAGTATTTTCTTTTTGGGAATTTTCTTTCTTTTTGGGTCACCCTGCCTCAGTGGGAGACAGCCGACTTGTTAAAAAATCAACAGAGTACTGCAAGTCCTCTATTTTCATTTGAAATATAACTCAACTGGTGTATATGTATATTCAGTGCTTTGTGATCCACTTTCATTCACTTAAGTTTAAGTATTAAGCTGGCAATAATAATAGTGATGATTATAATTAATATGGGATTTTATTATTCTTCAGCACCTATTCTTTAAAGACATTCACAACATGTACTAGTTACATTATATTTACTAACCAATGTGCTAAATAAAAAATTACTTGAAGCTCCTGAGCATTAATTAATCCTCCAAGCATTATATTCTCCTTACGGGAATTCCTCGATACCAGTGAGGGTGCTTGATCCAAGGTATGAGACCTGACTTCCCAATCCATGGATCAAGCCTGATTACCTCCCATTCCTCAAAGTGCTGTATAGCTTCTATGGGTTAATAAAGAACACAAAGGCACAATACTGAAACTGGAACAATACACAAATAACCTGCACACAGAGAGGAGTTTATGACAACATAAATGGTCCAAGTCGGACCGAAATGTCGTCATATAGGTTTAGTATTTCCTCTCCCCCATGAATGAAATAATTTATAATACAGTGCATTAGACTGCTCGTTACCTTACATGCATTACCATTCTACCACAAACTAGTTTCCGAGACTCAACTTGGGTGTCGGATGCATGCACAGCTCCTCGATAATGTGAGAAATCACAGAAGTGCTCAGCTCATTATTTTTTCACAGTGGGTGTTCTGCATATTGTGATATCACCTGTTTACTGTGATCTTATTACATCATGGGTGTTAGATGAACTGGCAAATAAAATGCATTACTTTTGTATCAGAACAAAAACATTACGAAGCAATACCTCAAACAGAAAGTAGTCTTCACAAGAGTCTGCATACATATTGATGAGTTTATAATGCTTATCCCCAAAGACATCTACTCTGTAGCCAGTTAACTGATACACGACTTCACGCATCTCCTTTGATTTGCGTTTGAATACCTCTAGCAGTCGCTTGTTTTGCATTTCTGTTGATTTTATTTTTACCTTCAGTTCTGAAATGAAAGAAAAATGTATTACTAAACAGAAAAGTATTCAAGAAATTTAATGCACTACAGGTATTACAATAAATTATTACTGCTCAGAAAAGTTCCATAGTTTTTCCCCTCTCAACCCGGTGTTAAGATAAGATTTTCTTCAGATTTTTAACCCCAGAGGGTTAGCCACCCAGGATAATCCAAGAAAATCAGTGTGTCATCGAGGACTGTCTAACTTATTTCCATTGGGGTCCTCAATCTTATCCCCCAGGATGCAACCCACACCAGTCGACTAACACCCAGGTATCTATTTGCTGCTAGGTGAACAGGACAACAGGTATAAGGAAGCATGTCGAAATGTTTCCACCCCACCGGGAATCGAACCCGGGCACTCCGTGTGTGAAGCAAGAGCTTTTAGCCACCAGGCCACCGGGTTTCATGATTGCCTGACTAAAAAATCAAAATGTTGACACGTGCAGCTCACAGCTCGGCTAATCAGATACATTCTGAACAAATGTACCAAGTTTTCCTTCATATTAAAAACAGGTAATGTACTAGTAATTTCTCCCATTTGCCAGTACCAGATTAAAAAATGTGGAAAAAAAAAGAAAAAAAAAAAAAAAAAAAAAAAAAAAAAAGTACATTGTGCAACAAAATGCTAGATAATAATAATTAAAAAAAAAAAAGTCAGAAAATACAGTACTTTGTAACAAATGATCAAAGTGCACTTCTCTTGTTCAAACATTCTATGATTTTCCTTCATTATGAAACACACTTGAATGGCATTCCTTATGAGAAACTAAATCTGTTTAGTTACTTACCTGCAACTTCTTTGCTGGAGTGAATTCCTTTGCTCATCTTCATCCCAACCCTTTCTGTAAGGTTTTGTACCTGACCTTGCTCTAGAAGTTTCACTCGTTCTCGTAAAGCCTCATTTTCAGTTTGTAAACATTGGATTTCTGTACCTCTATTTTCAATTGCTTTTGCTAAGGGATTCTTCCTATGAAAGAGAAATAAAAATTGAATAAGTAAGGCATGCTGAATTTCTTATAAGATTTCTAATTTCTTTTAACACTGGCAGTCTCCCACCAAGGCAAGGTGACCTGAAAAAGAAGAAACATTTTCACCATCATTCACTCTTATCACTGTCTTGCCAGAGGCACACCAATACTACAGTTCAGATACACATCCAAACTGCAAATACCCCCATCCCTCCTTCAAAGTGTAGGCACTGTACTTCCCATCTCCTGGACTCAAGTCCAGTTAACCAGTTTCCCTGAATCCCTTCACAAAATATTACCCTGCTCACACTCCAACAGCTCATTAAGTCCCAAAAATTTATCTGCCTTCAATCACTCCTATCTAACATTTTCACACATGCCTGCTATATGTCAAAGCCCCCTTGCATGCAAAAATCTCCTTTACCCTTCCCTTCAACATTTCCTAGGTCAACCCCTACCCTGACTTCCTTCCACTACAAATATATGCACCCTCCATGTCATCCTATTTTTCCAAACCACCTCCATAACCCCTCCTCAACCCTCTTTATATTACTTTTAGTAATCTCACACTTCTTCCTATCTCCAAGCTATGAATTATCTGCTTAATATTCAAACCACACATTGCCCTCGGACACGACATTTCCACTGCCTCCAGCCTCCTCCTTGCTGCAACATTAACAACCTACACTTCACTCCCATCTCACATAAGAGTTGGTACCACCAGAGCCAGCCTTAGGAGATACGGGGCCTAATTAGGAACAATTTTGGTGGGTCCCATGTATGGAAAGCAATCAAACTGTGCGCTTAAAAAATGCACGAGAGTTAATAGACCAAACAGATGTAAGCTACATTTTAGTGTAAAATTGCGTACATGTAAGCCTACAAGTAACAAACAAAATTTATGTATCACCTCTGAAAAGTACATAGTCATAATACCACTTGCTTTAGTGACTGTGAAATGGTTTATTAAAAATATTAATTTATTTTTGCTCAGAAATAAAAAATCAGAATTTAAGTGCACTGTTGGAAACAAATTATCTTTTTTGGACTTCTAAAAATCACTTAACATTCATAAACTACAAACGAGTCATATTATTATTTCCTTTTATTAGGAGAAAGTTATTTTTCTTGCTTTTTTCTCTGCAAAGTCTTTTAGAATTTTGTTGAAGTTTAAACTCCTGCTAATTTCCGATTCAATGGACATACAGTGGAACCTCAAAAATCGAACTGCTCCCAACACAACCAATTATGTAAGTGTATTTTTGTAAGTGCTTTTATAAGCGTATTTTTAAGGGTCTGAAATGGACTAATCTAATTTACATTATTCCTGATGGGAATAAATTCATTCGGTAAAGGCAGTCGAACAGGCTTCTGGACCGAAGAAAGTTCGATATTTGAGGTTCCACTGTAACTGCTAAATTGTTCAAATGTTCTTGCTGAACTGATGATCTCAAGTAAGATTTGATCAGTTTCAACTTGGAAAAACTCCTTCTCCAGATGCCCCCCCCCCCCCTCCTTTTTTTTTTTACTTCGTGTTGTTGTGTGTACTTGACAAGCCGAGAGTAGATTACAATCTAGCAAGGGGCCTCCCCTTAGACATGGGGCCCAAGTGGGAACAATCTGTCCAATCAGCTTAAGGTCGGCCCTGGGTACCACTGTACCCTCATACATTTTCCTTTTGGTCCAATGGATAATGTTCTATGGTTCACCTCATCTTTCCCCCTTCATTATAAACATGAACATCCAAAGTCTACCCCATCAACCTTTTATCCACCAATACATAGTTCAACAAACTATTGCCATTACACCCTGTATCATATCTCATAATTATTGTCTCTCCACAAATGGTTCTTGAAGGATTAGAGATCAATATTTATGAAAGACAAGGACTGGAATGTAAAAATGATAGAGAGTAGTGTTTTATTTTAGGATCAGCAATATGTATCCACAAGTCAGACAAAATCAAGATTCCAAATATTACGTCACCACAAAAAATAGTCACAACACAAGGGTTAAAAAAAATTTGTAGCCCAAAAATTGGAACAAAAATTACAATAGACACTGCTTCAGTCATTCCTGAACCATTATGAAGTTGCAAAACCTGCAGATTTATAATGGTCCAGGACTGATCTATTTCATCTTTAATTTTTGAGCATTTGTAAATCACATGAGCATATATGAAGAGGGGTTATATACCTTTGCAAGAGAGAGAGAGATGGAAGTAACAGTGTAAGATGTAGAAAACTGATGACTGCCTGATTGGCTAAGAATGCTGCTTACAATTTCTGTCCCACTTTTAACACTCCTTAGAGGCAGCATTCAAACTCAGGTATACTGAATTCTCAATCTGCTGCTAGCATAACAAATTCTAAAAAAAAAAAAAAAAATTTCAAACAGGCATGAAGTCTTTGAAATCAACATTATATAATTCAAAAATAATTATCTACAGTTCTATTCCTTCAAAGAAAGTGACTCGATGCTGATGAATTCCTAATCCAAGGAACTCCAGCTCTCCCTGAATCAAGTATGATCACCTCCCGTTCTCCAGAGCTGTATGACCTTTATGGGTTTAGCTCTTCCAAGTGAATATAATAATCCACAGATCTTTATAATTCCACCTCTATATTGCACAGCCACAAGAGAAAACATAAAACCCATTTTATGTCAACATGTACCTCTAACCCATCACATTCTCTGTACAACCTTACGAGGATTGCACCTTTATCCTAACCTAATATGTTCTGCTAGGATTTACAGCTATTTCTAATTTTGCCAGCAAAATGTCATCTGTTTGAAGATCCTCTGTACCTATCCTACTTGTACGTTAAGTTTCTCTCCAAGATAGTACATCTATCACTAGCCCTTTTTATCACCCAGCTACATAAACTCCAAGTTCAACTTACTCAAAATGTAGAATTTTTATCTTTGTAGGGTCATAGTCGCCCTTGAGTGCTCGGTGCTCAAGTCTAAGTTCTAGGACTTCCCTGGCATGTTTCAACTTAACAATTTCACTCTCTAGCTCCAAAACCTTCTTCTCCAAGGATGAAATCTTCTCAGCATCTTCTTTTCTTGGCTAAGGAATGAACAATTATGTGCAAATGAGGAAAATCTTACAGAAAATATTTAAGAGTAAAGAATCAATGCATTTACTCTACAACTTCAATATTATCTTTCAAAATATATTGCATATCAATGTATTGAAAAATTGTTTTTTTTTAGCAATTTCAGATTATTCTCTAACAACTGCCATATTTTAGTGTTGAAGACTGTTATTTTTTTCCCGAAATACATCTTGAAAATTTAGCCAGCATCTTGGAGGGCAAAGTACCGTTAATCTTTTTTTTTCCCAAAAATTTAGCTAACTGGAATGGGGGAGTAGAGGGCCCTTGACACAGGATCATCTTGTTCACCATAAAATATGGTAAGTAAATTTAAATTGCACTAAGAAATTCATCATAAATGACTATAAGCAACTTTTAAGAAGTGATCAGAATTCTAATTTACAGACTGTAGTGGACAGCCTTCCCGGCAAGTAATCTTAGGACAGTCAGACCACGGTTTCAATTCCCAATGACTTAAAAATTTAGACTACAGTACCTTGTCACTAAAAAACATCTTAAAAGATGAAGCAAATTAAACTATCACCACTCAATGTCCTAAAAGAAAAAAGAAAAAGATAATGAAACTGACTTGTGTTGCAGCAGTCTCTTCAGTTTTATTTTTATCTAATATGTCTAGCTCACTCTCGTGATGCTGAAGCTCTTGTTTGTACAACTCCAAGAGACCTTCCAACTTCGTAATTTTTTCTTGGCTAACAACTGAGTGGTTAATCGTTACCTCCGAGTCATAAGAGTCGAGGATGCTCTTTAAACCATCGCGTTCCTTTGGTAAAAGAGGAGACACACTAAGATTGGCAATACGTATAGAGTATGTTCAGTATTCAAGTTATAGCAAAAACCACATTTTTATGGTAAAACAAGAAAGAGGTAAACATAAATTGACAGATTACCTTAGTGGCTAAAATCAACTTTCTTTGTAGTCTCTTGATAAGATGAGCATTCTGCTGGTTGTTATGCATCTGCTTCCCTAATCTGGCCTTCAGTGCCTTTATCTCTTCCTCCTCTGATACACGACTCTCCTCCAGGGATTTCTGACTGTGGCATGAAAACACATTTAGTAAATCAGTTTCACTGGCATTAGTGTAAGAACTATATTTCTGGATAAATGTATTCCTTCTATAGGTGTACCATGCTCTACCTGTTCCCTACATACTGTATATACATAACTACAACAAGCACTCAATCCACATCTATACAAATAATGAAAATATTCAATTTACACATTTGTCTGAAGAAATATTATAGAAAAAATAAATGACAAATGTCTGTGTATCAACCTTGCTTTAATCTCAAGTGAGGGAAAACAAAAGCCCTACCCAAAAAAGTATGATAAATATATTTACTACAGCACACTATTTTTTCCCACATACACTGATGCTTTTGCAAGTGATACCTGCTGCATGGACACCCTTACCAAAACATATGTATAGATTTCAACCCTTGCAAATAGTCTGAACACTAACGGAGCTTCAACAATGAGATGTGGCATCAGGATTTAAACATACAAAGAGCTCAGAACTAGACCATTATGAGCAATAATCAGCACTGTATGACCCTTGTGAGTGTAGCACTTACAGATAACAAAAAAGGCACAATACCGTGACTGGAACGATACACAAATAACCCGCACATAGAAGAGAGGAGCTTACGACGACGTTTCGGTCTGACTTGGACCATTTACAAAGTCACACTTTGTAAATGGTCCAAGTCGGACCGAAACGTCGTCGTAAGCTCCTCTCTTCTATGTGCGGGTTATTTGTGTAGCACTTACAGTTTTGATTATAATATGAGTAATAATAGTAATAAAAATAATAAAGGCATGTAGTAAAACTTGGCAACAATCTAAAGAGGGAAAGAAAAGCTAGGGAGGTCCAGAGAAAGAAGAAATTTATTTCAACATTAATAACAAAAAAGTACATGTAGTTTATTATGCAAATATCCAAAAGTATTTGTTGCTGGTATCTAATTGTCAAAGTGGGAAGTCTGAATGTGCGTGGATGTTGTGCAGATGATAAGAAAGAGATGATTGTGGATGTTATGAATGAGAAGAAGCTGGATGTCCTGGCTTTAAGTGAAACAAAGCCGAAGGGGATGGGGGAGTTTCAGTGGAGAGGAATAAATGGGATTAGGTCAGGGGTTTCAAATAGAGTTAGAGCTAAAGAAGGAGTAGCAATAATGTTGAAGGATAAGCTATGGCAGGAAAAGAGGGACTATAAATGTATTAATTCTAGGATTATGTGGAGTAAAATAAAGATTGGATGTGAAAAGTGGGTTATAATAAGCGTGTATGCACCTGGAGAAGAGAGAAGTGTAGAGGAGAGAGAGAGATTTTGGGAAATGTTGAGTGAATGTGTGGGGAGTTTTGAATCAAGTGTGAGAGTAATGGTGGTTGGGGATTTCAATGCTAAAGTGGGTAAAAATGTTATGGAGGGAGTAGTAGGTAAATTTGGGGTGCCAGGGGTAAATATAAATGGGGAGCCTTTAATTGAGCTATGTGCAGAAAGAGATTTGGTAATAAGTAATACATATTTTATGAAAAAGAGGATAAATAAATATACAAGGTATGATGTAGCACGTAATGAAAGTAGTTTATTAGATTATGTATTGGTGGATAAAAGGTTGATGGGTAGGCTCCAGGATGTACATGTTCATAGAGGGGCAACTGATATATCGGATCATTATTTAGTTGTAGCTACAGTTAGAGTAAGAGGGAGATCGGAAAAGAGGAAGGTGGCAACAACAAGTAAGAGGGAGGTGAAAGTGTATAAACTAAGGGAGGAGGAAGTTCGGGTGAGATATAAGCGACTATTGGCAGAAAGGTGGGCTAGTGCAAAGATGAGTAGTGGGGGGGGGGGGGGTTGAAGAGGGTTGGAATAGTTTTAAAAATGCAGTATTAGAATGTGGGGCAGAAGTTTGTGGTTATAAGAGGGTGGGGGCAGGAGGAAAGAGGAGTGATTGGTGGAATGATGAAGTAAAGGGTGTGATAAAAGAGAAAAAGGTAGCTTATGAGAGGTTTTTACAAAGCAGAAGTGTTATAAGAAGAGCAGAGTATATGGAGAGTTAAAGAAAGGTAAAGAGAGTGGTGAGAGAGTGCAAAAGGAGAGCAGATGATAGAGTGGGAGAGGCACTGTCAAGAAATTTTAATGAAAATAAGAAAAAATTTTGGAGTGAGTTAAACAAGTTAAGAAAGCCTAGGGAAAGTATGGATTCGTCAGTTAAAAACAGAGTAGGGGAGTTAGTAGATGGAGAGATGGAGGTATTAGGTAGATGGCGAGAATATTTTGAGGAACTTTTAAATGTTAAGGAAGAAACAGAGGCAGTAATTTCATGCACTGGTCAGGGAGGTATACCATCTTTTAGGAGTGAAGAAGAGCAGAATGTAAGTGTGGGGGAGGTACGTGAGGCATTAAGTAAAATGAAAGGGGGTAAAGCAGCTGGAACTGATGGGATCATGACAGAAATGTTAAAAGCAGGGGGGGATATAGTGTTGGAGTGGTTGGTACTTTTGTTTAATAAATGTATGAAAGAGGGGAAGGTACCTAGGGATTGGCGGAGAGCATGTATAGTCCCTTTATATAAAGGGAAAGGGGACAAAAGAGACTGTAAAAATTATAGAGGAATAAGTTTACTGAGTATACCAGGAAAAGTGTACGGTAGGGTTATAACTGAAAGAATTAGAGGTAAGACAGAATGTAGGATTGTGGATGAGCAAGGAGGTTTCAGAGTGGGTAGGGAATGTGTAGATCAAGTGTTTACATTGAAGCATATATGTGAACAGTATTTAGATAATGGTAGGGAAGTTTTTATTGCATTTAAGGATTTAGAAAAGGCATATGATAGAGTGGATAGAGGAGCAATGTGGCAGATGTTGCAAGTATATGGAATAGGTGGTAAGTTATTAACCCTTTGACTGTTTCAGGCTCCCGCGAAGTTAGCGGTCTCAGCGACATATGCGTATCGGCGATTTCGCTGACTTTGAGCCCTATTTTCAGCCAATTCCATTGTTCCAGTTGACCAAACTCATAGCTATTTCTTTAGAACTCCATTTTATCTATCAGCTGAGTACAAGAAACCTCCCATTTACTAATTTGGACTACCCAATATGGTGGTCAGAAATTGGCAATTTGGCCAATTTCACGCAAACTAAAAAAGATGCCAATTTCAAAATAGGGTCCAGAATAAACAAGGTAGACATTCGTGGCACTAAAATAACATATGCTCTGTTCATTAGTCATATCTCTAGGTCCCTCTTATATTATTATTGCTTTCTATTTTGATTTTTTATTCATACAAAAAAATACAAAATTTACTGTTATGCAGACTACTGCATTATTGTAAAAATGATATAAATAATATCAGTGCACTAGTGAAAGAATATTAGACTCCCAGTTGACGTGTATTGGACGTGTGGTGTGATTTATTTACTCCTGAACATTGGTAAAAATCGAACATTTCCGCTACTTTGAGCTCAGTTTCAAGGTCATTTTCATTGTCAAAGTAATAAATATCATCTCTATTTCTGTAATATGTTTTCCATTTTATCACCTAAGACCATGAAAACGTGAATACAACGATAAATACTATACGAAAATACACCTCAAATTCGGCGTTTTATTCCAAAAAAACGATCAGAGTTTTTTTTCTCATTACGCAATGTGTGCTGCAGGATTTTTTTTATGTGGTGCACACTGACCACACAGACCCATTCTCTCACATGTGGGCCTACCAGCTTTCTCCCGCTTGATTTGAAGCCGCTAGAATTATTGAGTATATATACGTCAGAAACATTGGCTCGTAAGACGTATTTATACGTCGAAAACAGTCAAAGGGTTAAATGCTGTAAAGAGTTTTTATGAGGATAGTGAGGCTCAGGTTAGGGTGTCTAGAAGAGAGGGAGACTACTTCCCGGTAAAAGTAGGTCTTAGACAGGGATGTGTAATGTCACCATGGTTGTTTAATATATTTATAGATGGGGTTGTAAAGGAAGTAAATGCTAGGGTGTTCGGGAGAGGGGTGGGATTAAATTTTGGGGAATCAAATTCAAAATGGGAATTGACACAGTTACTTTTTGCTGATGATACTGTGCTTATGGGAGATTCTAAAGAAAAATTGCAAAGGTTAGTGGATGAGTTTGGGAATGTGTGTAAACGTAGAAAGTTGAAAGTGAACATAGAAAAGAGTAAGGTGATGAGGGTGTCAAATGATTTAGATAAAGAAAAATTGGATATCAAATTGGGGAGGAGGAGTATGGAAGAAGTGAATGTTTTCAGATACTCGGGAGTTGACGTGTCGGCGGATGGATTTATGAAGGATGAGGTTAATCATAGAATTGATGAGGGAAAAAAGGTGAGTGGTGCGTTGAGGTATATGTGGAGTCAAAAAACGTTATCTATGGAGGCAAAGAAGGGAATGTATGAAAGTATAGTAGTACCAACACTCTTATATGGGTGTGAAGCTTGTGTGGTAAATGCAGCAGCGAGGAGACGGTTGGAGGCAGCGGAGATGTCCTGTTTAAGGGCAATGTGTGGTGTAAATATTATGCAGAAAATTTGGAGTGTGGAAATTAGGAAAAGGTGTGGAGTTAATAAAAGTATTAGTCAGAGGGCAGAAGAGGGGTTGTTGAGGTGGTTTGGTCATTTAGAGAGAATGGATCAAAGTAGAATGACATGGAAAGCATATAAATCTATAGGGGAAGGAAGGCGGGGTAGGGGTCGTCCTCGAAAGGGTTGGAGAGAGGGGGTAAAGGAGGTTTTGTGGGTAAGGGGCTTGGACTTCCAGCAAGCGTGCGTGAATGTTAGATAGGAGTGAATGGAGACGAATGGTACTTGGGACCTGACGATCTGTTGGAGTGTGAGCAGGGTAATATTTAGTGAAGGGATTCAGGGAAACCGGTTATTTTCATATAGTCGGACTTGAGTCCTGGAAATGGGAAGTACAATGCCTGCACTTTAAAGGAGGGGTTTGGGATATTGGCAGTTTGGAGGGATATGTTGTGTATCTTTATATGTGTATGCTTCTAAACTGTTGTATTCTGAGCACCTCTGCAAAAACAATGATAATGTGCGAGTGTGGTGAAAGTGTTGAATGATGATGAAAGTATTTTCTTTTTGGGGATTTTCTTTCTTTTTTGGGTCACCCTGCCTTGGTGGGAGACGGCCGACTTGTTGGGAAAAAAAAAAAAAAAAAAAAAAAAAAATCTGTAACTCACCACCATTAACCCTTTGAGGGTTTCGGACGTACTAGTACGGCTTACGACCCAGGGTTTTTGACGTACTAGTACGCCTAAATTCTAGTGCCCTCAAATCTAGTGGGAGAAAGCTGGTAGGCCTACATATGAAAGAATGGGTCTATGTGGTCAGTGTGCACAGTCTAAAAAAAATCCTGCAGCACACAGTGCATAATGAGAAAAAAAAAACTTTGACCATTTTTTTGGAATAAATCAGCGACTTTGCAGTGTATTTTCGTATGGTATTTATTGTTATATTCTAGTTTTCTTGGTCTCATTTTATAGAATGGAAGACATATTACAGAAATTGAGATGATTTTGACTGGTTTTACAATGAAAGGTACATTGAAATTGAGCTCAAAGTAGCAGAAATGTTCGATTTTTACCAAATTTCAAAAGTAAACAAATCGTGCCAAGCGTGCAATACACGTCAACTGGTGAGTCTAATATTCTTTCACAAGTGCACCAATAATATTTATACCATTTTTTACACTAATGCAGTAGTCTGCATAACAGTAAATCTTATATTTTTTGTGAGAATAAAAATTCAAAGTGGAAAGCAAAAGAATATAAGAGGGGCCTTGAGATGTGACTAATGACTAGAGGAAATGTCATTTTAGTGCCAGGAATGTCTTTCTTGTTTATTCTGGACCCTATTCGGAAATTGGCATCTTTTGAAATTTGTGTGAAATTGGCAAAATTGCTAAATTCTGACCACTGTACTGGATAGTTGAATTTCATAAATGGGTGGTTTCTTGCACCCATTCGATAGAAAAAATGGAGTTCTAGCGAAATATTCATGTTTTTTGTCGACTAGTACAGTGGAATTGGCCGAAAATGGGGCTCAAAGTGGGCAAAATCGCCGATGCGTAAACATCGCCGAGACCGCTAACTTTGCGAGAGCATAATTCCGTAAGTTTTCTATCAAATTTCAAACTTTTGGTGTCTTTATGATCGGGAAAATATTCTCTATCTTTTCATAAGAGAAAAAAATTTTTTTTTTTTTTTAAATTTGGCCGACCCTGAGAACGAGTTTCGGTGAGGGCCTGTCGACCCTCAAAGGGTTAAAAGAATTACTATTTTAGACATTTCATATTAATATTGTACACACAGAAGCTGTGGTTTTGTTTATTCATGCACTCATATAGAGCATGCACTAACTCACCTGGCCCGAAGCTGTGCTATACCTTCGGTGAGAGTTTCGTCCCCTTGCTTGAGTTTGGTAATGTGATGTTGTAATTCTTGTGGCGTAGCTTTGTGTTCAAACCCAAACTCCTTCTTGACTACTGATTCATACTGCTGCACAGTTTCCTGAAACACAGATCATAAAAAAAGCATTTTAAAGTATTTTCATTGTCTTCAAGTAGGATTCAGATAATAGAAAGGTTATATGCAAGCAATAAAAATGTCGGCCATTTTGCCAACACTAAGTCTGCATTTGGATCTAATACTGTAGTCTCTGCCATTGCTTATGCAACTGGATAGCTACCTTCAGCAGGTCATTCTCTGCCTGTAAATATGCATTATCTTCACAGCGCTTTTCCAGTAACTTTACGAGCTGCTGAGCACCATCTAGTTTTTCTTCTAAGAGCTCAGTGTTTCTAGCAGTCTCTCTGTAACAAGTAATAGCAGATAATTATCAATTAAAAGGAAGTCTCTTGTTGCAAAAAAAAGTTTCCTGGAAATTTCGAGATTCAGTTTTTAAATGAAATATAAAAATATTTGAAATTAAAAGCAAATACAGCCTCTCCTCACTTAACGATGGAGTTCTGTTCCTAAGACCACATTGGTAAATGAATTCGTCGCTAAGTGAGGAGCATACTATAATGGTAGTGAGTTTGTGTCAACCATCTGTGATATTGTTTTAATGTCGCCTTTGCACCATTTATAACATTTCTGGTATATTTTTAAATGTTTATACAGTGGTGTACTGTATATTGTAATAAACAGAATAGAGGAAATCAGCTCTAATATATGTACATTATTTAGGTATTCATACTGGTCAGAGAACCTGTCATAAGTCCAAGTTGTCAGTAAACAAGTGCATCGCTAAGTGAGGAGAGGCTGTATACCCATATATACTTTTAACAGATTCGTCTTCAGAAGACGGAATACAAATTTTTAATACTGGTAAGTTAAATTATCTCAGTTACTTTCAGTTAGGTTCAACAAACCTTAGAAACTTATTGTCCTCTTTTAACTTAGACAGTTCCTTCTGCAGGAGAGAGAACTTTCCCACAGTAGAATCGAAGACATCAGCTTTGTTCCGCAGCACCTCCAGCTTTTCCAGCTGCAGCTTTAGTTCCTGAAATGTTTTGTGCATAATGATTTACTAAATACAGTACCAAATGTCTCTCCATGGGGAAGTGGAACAGACTTCTTTACCCATAAGCCATGCGTGTCATAAGAGGCGACTAAAATGCTGGGAGCAAGGGGCACATACTGTATTACTAAATTTAAAAAGAGAAACTCCTAGGTAGTAGGTTGGTAGACAGCAAGTGACCAGGGAGATACTACTGTCTTGCCAAGCGAGTGTAAAATGGAAGCCTGTAATTGTTTTACATGATGGTAGGATTGCTGGTGTCTTTTTTCTGTCTCATAAACATGCAAGATTTCAGGTACGTCTTGCTACTTCTACTTACACTTAGGTCACACTACGCATACATGTACAAGCATATATATATACAAACCCCTCTGGGTTTTCTGCTATTTTCTTTCTAGTTCTTGTTTACTTCCTCATATCTCCATGGGGAAGTGGAACAGAATTCTTCTTCCGTAAGCCATGCGTGTTGTAAGATGCCACCAAAATGCCAGGGGCAAGGGGCTAGTAACCCCTTCTCTTGTATAAATTACTAAATTTAAAAAGAGAAACTTTAGTTTTTCTTTTTGGGCCACCCCGCCTCGGTGGGATACGTCCGGTTTGTTAAAAAAAAAAAAAAAAAAAATACACCTCTCTGGGTTTTCTTCTATTTTCTTACTAGCTCTTGTTCTTGTTTATTCCCTCTTATCTCCATAGGAAAGTGGAACAGAATTCTTCCTCCATAAGTCATGCGTGACTTAAGAGGCAACTAAAATGCCAAGAGCAAGGGGCTAGTAACCCCTTCTCCTGTATGCACTAAATTTTAAAAGAGAAACATGAATTATTTTTTTTTTTTTTGGGGGTCAGCCTGCCTCAGTGGGATACGGCCAGTTTGTTGAAAGAAGAAAGATTTACTTATGCCATCTGAATTGTATGCACTTCTGGCAAGGCTTCTGCTGAACAAGTTACGGAGAATGTATTTCCTATTTTGAGTCGCCCTACCTTGGTGGGAACAGTCCATGTGATAAGTCATTTGTTGCTTTTCCTTTTATTTTCACAACTTGAAGGTAGGAGATCATCGTATTTCGCAGCATACAAGATGCACCCTAAATTTACTGAAAATCCCTTGTTTATTTCTTATTCTGTTTAATTCTCTTTGTTAAATGGAATTATTCTTAGACCCCAAGCTTGACCTTCACCATGTAAAATGCTGAGTGATTCTGAGAATCAAATTTTGGAAAGGGGTAAAAAAGAAAGAAAAAGAGAGAAAAGGAAAGAGAAAAAAGTTATATGCTGGAAAATATTGTAAATCCTTAAAATTAAGTCCCAAAAGACACTTTAAAGGGCAGACAAGAATTAAAGTTAAATTAACCTATCTATTAATTATTTTTTTTCCTCAACAGCCATCACCCACCATGGCAGGGCGACCCATCATACTTCTGTCACTGATGCTTCCAGTGTTTACTCCATTTCCTGCTGTCTTTTCCTCTCCAATACTTTGGTAAAACTGGCTGCTCCCTTCCGGCAAAAAGCACAACAGTGTTCATCTTGCCAAAAACAATGCTCCTTTCTGTCATTTCAGAAATCACAACTGTCCTGTTGCTTGGTCCTCAGATGAAACTATCTTACCCTTCTTCTAGTCTAACATGCCATCCTGTCAAATCAGCTCTTAAATACATCCATTATACATTAATTTTAGTCCTGGCTTTGTTTCTGTGGATGCTTGCCTTTCTTACAACACTTTTAGACGATGTAACTTGATCCCACCTTTGCTTCCCTCTCCCCCCCTCTCAATTTCTCTTGATGTCTCATTTGCATTTCCTACTGTTTTTCCTGTCTTCTGACTTCCCTCTTTCTTGCTTCTTTTTCTTTCCTAGCTTGAGCCAGTAGGTCTATTGCAGTGCTTCTCTGCCATCTTGCAGACAGGTGCCAGAATGTGAAGATACTTTATTCTCTACTGCCTTGAAATGTAATCCACTCTTATTACCCCATGATTAGTCCTACCTGGCATGTGCCAGGAAATTTCCTGTAGTGCCCCTTTATTCTTTGCTCATATTTACTATTACTACTACACTATTAATTCTACCACTACTAACATTACTGTTACTACTACAATTACTACTACCACTGCTGCTACCTTTACTACTACTGCTGCTGCTGCTGTGGATTTTACAACTACTGCCACCACTCCCTGCTTTCCCCAGCCCCCTCCTGTGTTGTCTTCTGGCCTCTACTTTTCTTGCCTCAATTGTGACTTGACAGTGGTCCAGGTCAGATCAAAATAGTACAAAGTTCCTCTCGTAAGTGCAGGTTTATAGGGAATTTACTGGAAATGACTTAAACGGCTTACACGCCTAGGCTTTTTCAGGTATTGTAAGAGAAAATACAAAATAGATGTAGGGAGGATGAAGGTACTAGTCAGCCACTTACATCATTCATCACTACACCTCATAATATTTAGTAACCAAGCAAACATAATAATAAAAATCAGAACTAAATGCTAAATCCACAAGGGTCATACAGCACTGTCAAGCAAACACAGAACTGCATTTTGAGGGAAATAACTGAAAGCACCTAAACATCAACCACGAGAAGAGCACTTTACCATTCATACTTGTGTGTAGTAAAGCTTATTCACTGTTGATCCAGTGAAAAAAAAAAATAAAAATTGGTTCTTAAAACTGTCACCAAGAGGCTGGGCTTGTGAACTTACAGAGACGGCTTTGTTTTATGGGCATGCACACATTATGTTTTGTATTCCAAATTACTGCAAAGAGGAATTCTCACAGTATCGCCTGGAAATGAAATATTATTAACATTATTAACACACTGGTCGAGTCCCACCAAGGCAGGGTGGCCTGAAAAAGAAAAACTTTCACCATCATTCACTCCATCACTGTCTTGCCAGAAGGGTGCTTTACACTACAGTTTTTAAACTGCAACATTAACACCCCTCCTTCAGAGTGCAGGCACTGTACTTCCCATCTCCAGGACTCAAGTCCGGCCTGCTGGTTTCCCTGAACCCCTTCATAAATGTTACTTTGCTCACACTCCAACAGCACGTCAAGTATTAAAAACCATTTGTCTCCATTCACTCCTATCAAACATGCTCACGCATGCCTGCTGGAAGTCCAAGCCCCTCGCACACAAAACCTCCTTTACCCCCTCCCTCCAACCTTTCCTAGGAAATGAAATAATAGGAAAAAAATCTACATAACGTCTTTTACCTGAACTTTTGCTTTTTCTCTATTATGCTGTAACTGCAGTGTTTCCAACTGCAACTGATTAGACCCCGACTCTTTCAACCTCTCCTGGGCTCCGGCAAGATTTTCTTCTAGCTCTGCAGTATGACACTTTGTTAACTCCAACTGGAAATACAGTACAGAAAATTTAATACCTTTCTAAATGTAGAGAAATGAATAAAGTGCATATGATGTAGGTCACTTCTCATACTAATCCTTAATGCATGTCAATCAATCTTAAAATTGATGCGTGGAACAGTCTTCCCAGTGGGGTGATAGAGGCTAGGACCTTGGGTAGCTTTAAGAAGAGACTGGACAAATATATGAGTGGGAGGGGCTGGGTTTGAATGGTGTCATTGGGTACGGGGAGTTATTTCTTGGGTATCTTTAGGTAGAGGTCGTTTTGATAAGGACCTGCCTCGCATGGGCCAGTAGGCCTTCTGCAGTGTTCCTATATTCTTATGTTCTTTATAACTACATATATAGTCAATGATCTTTTCAGTCAAATTTGGCTACAAGACTTAAAAAGTGCCTAAATGTGTAAAAATTTTTCCCAGACATTTTAACTGCTAAACATACCACATCTAATCATATAAATAAATGTTTGAAATATCAGTCAAGGAACTCTACATGATGGTTTGAACATCAGTGATCCAGTCATCATCTGACTAAGAAACATAGAAGAGAAGTTCATAGGGTTCAAATGCTTTTCAGGTGGGGGAGGACAGGAAGCCTAGTTCAATACTGTATAACATTACTATTAAAATGGTAAACCAAAAAAAAAAAAAAATTTATATAGACTAATAACCAGCCTTATTTAAGGGGATGGCTGGTTATTAATTTTATTTCCATTTTTATTTTTTTTTACACTACCCAATAAAAGGCTGGTTGACAGTTATGCTCATCTTTTTATCCAACTTTTGTAAGGGCAATCACTGATCACAGTACTGGATACATGGTTATGAGAGCAACCACTGTATTTATGCCAAACTTATTATTTTATAGACAGTACAAAATACTGTACTCACCTCTGAGGACTTTTCGTCAACATCTTTTTCCAAGCCCAACACTTTTTTGCGAAGATCAGAAATTTTCTGTGGAATATTACAGGGATCATTAACCTTAACATAAATTATCTCTATTAACACTTATTTAATCTTTAATAATCATACATTATCAACAGTGACTAATTTCCCTACCTAAACCCCAAAACTAATACTGTAGCCATGACAAATTTTTGAACACATTGGACATTTCCGACCAAGGCTAGCTGAACATAGGGAAATATTTGCTTTCTAGCCAACTCTCCAGAAGAGCATGAACATCACAATTTGAATGATGTATCACTAAAACATCTCTAGTATCTTCATTGTTAGACCATGTTGCCTACACGGTAGGCTTCTTCTGTCAAGTTCACAGGAGACAGCAGAAGCAATTTACAGCGTAGGCAAAACATTTCAACAATATAGAATTGACTAGGGGGAAAAAGGTGAGTGGTGCACCGAGGAATCTGTGGAGACAAAGAACTTTATCCATGAAAGCAAAGAGGGGAATGTATGAGAGTATAGTTATATAAATGCTCTTGTATGGGTGTGAGGTATGGATGGTGAATGTTGCAACAAGGAGAAGGCTTGAGGCAGTGGAGATGTCATGTCTGAGGGTAATGTGTGATGTGAATATAATACAGAGAATCTGTAGTTTGGAGATTAGGAGGAGGTGCAGGATTATCAAGACCATTGTCCAGAGGGCTCAGGAGGGGTTATTGAGATGGTTTGGACACAGAGAGGATGTAACGAAATAAGAATGACTTCGAGTGTATAAATCTGTAGTGGAGGGAAAGTAGGGTAGGGGTTGGCCTAGGAAAGGTTGGAGGGAGGGGGTAAAGGAGGTTTCGTGTGCAAAGGGCTTGGACTTCCAGCAAGCATACATGAGCGTGTTATATAGGAGCAAATGGAGACAAGTGATTTTTAGGACTTAACGTGCTGTTGGAGTGTAAGCAAGGTAACATTCATGAAGGGATTCAGGGAAACCGGGAGGCCAGACTCGATTCCTGGAGATGGGAAGTACAGTGTCAGTACTCTGAAAAAGGGGTGTTAATGTTGCAGTTTTATAATTGTAGTGTAAGCATGCCTCTGGCAAGACAGTGATGGAGTGAATGATGGTGGGAGTTTTTCTTTTTCAGCCCACCCTGCCTTGGTGGGAAACAGCCGACGTTTAATAAAAATAAAAAATAGATACCAAACTCTCCATGGGGAAGTGGAACAGAATTAATTCCTCTGTAAGCCATGCGTGTTGTAAGAGGCTAGTAACCCCTTCTCTTGTATACATTACTAAAGTTAAGAGAAACTTTTGTTTTCTTATTGGGCCACCCTGCTTTGGTGGGATACAGTTGGTTCGTTGAAAGAAGAAAGATACCAAACTATTGCACATCTATCTTACTGATCTACTTGTCAGTATTATATACCATTTACATAATTATACATATCTGTAATTAGCCACAAAAACAAGACACAAATTTTATTAAAATATATAAAAATGACAGATGGCTGGAGATAGTTCTACAGCAACTTCCATATTAGCAATAAACCATTAGAGACCAGGGGTTTTACTTATATTTTCCAGGCATGGTCAATAAAAAATATTTCAGATCCCACAAAGAGCCAAATGTGCGACCACCTCACAAAATGTGTTGTACTGCTCCATGTGCTCTTGTTGCATTTTGATCATTTTTGCCTCAATCTCAAAGCTGATGGTGTTGCATTCTTTTTTAACTTTGTTTGCACACTCTTGAGTTTCCCTCTCACGATTCTGCACCTGCTTCACTTTATGCTGTAGGTCATCAATCTGAAAACAGGCATAAATTGGCTAAATTCTGAAGTTATGTTGCAAGTTGTCAAATCACTGCATCCAGATTATCTTCAGTGTTTAATTATGTGTGTATGCAACTCATAAACCCAAGTCTAAATCATTCCTTGTGATGAATATGATACACGAGGGAAAGCTTCACAGACCACTGTCACCAGGATGTATGCAGAACACAAAGGTACAAACTATGAAGGATCATAAACCATACCACGGGTGGGGATAGAACCCGCGATCAGAGTGGTATGGTTTGTTTGCAATCGTGTCATTACGATTTCGTGACCAATGAAGGATCATATATGAAGATGTATACAGTCAGGTAAATATAAGTGAAGAGTGAATGTAACAGTTTAAAACATTTATCTGCCCATTTACATGTACAAGGAACAGAAAAAAATGATTGGCAATCCTACCTCAGTGCAAAATGTTTAACAGACTATTTTTACATTCATGCAACAGGATGGTAATATCTCCCTGGTTGGCCACTGTCTACCAACCTGAAATAATACTCACCAGTTCTTTATCTCTGAGTTGCTTCAGCCTCAAACTCTCCAGTTCTGTATCCCTTTCCAGTTTTGCTTTCTTAGCTGTCAACTCCAAGTCATGTATACGTCCCTCAAGTCTTTTAATTGTGGCTTGAGAACTGATTATTTCACTGTCTTTTTCTCTAAATTTCTTGGTGATGTCTGTAAAAAAAATTAAAGATGATTACCATACAATTATGTTGAAACCTCATCCATTCTTTGATTAATGAATTACCTTTTGCAAAACCACTTCAGAGTGAAGAGTACAATTACATATTACTAATTTGCTAAAACATTTTAAAGCTATTGTTGCAATATAAATTTTCCCTCAGAATAGCAGTTTTTAGATATATGGCACCCTTCTATCAGCTGCTTTGAGGGGTAGACTGGGTGTTCCAATAATTTTTACAACATACATTTAGGCCAAGAATAAAAAAAAAATCAGCTCCCAGATGCAACTTCCCACCACAGCACTGTCTTCCTTTGCAGATGACACCCAAATTTGCATGACAGTGTCCTCCATTGAAGACACTGCAAGACTCCAGGTGGACATCAACCAAATCTTTAAATGGCCTGCAGAAAACAATATGAAGTTCAATGATGAGAAATTTCAACTACTCTGATATGGAAAACGTGAGAAAATTAAAACTATATCGGAGTATAAAACAAATTCCAACTACACAATACAGCAAAAAACTTATGTTAAAGACCTGGGAGTGATAATGTGTTGCAACCCCTGAATGGGTTGCAATATATATAATGTATATTATGATTATGAATATAATGTATATATATAATTATCACCTTTTCATATAATTTTATATTGCTTATATTTGCGATAATAGCTAAATCGTAAATATATTGCTTTATATTATTATTATTTGACTTAGCTATATTTTGTGAGGTAGGATGTAACATATTATGTGCTCAGTTAAAGTCTTAAATGTCTAATTACTGTAATTATCGCTTGTGGCTCGTTAGACTGCCGGCTTCTCGTTGTTGCTGGGCAGCAACCCACGGAGCTATCATGTGATCGAGGGGGGAGTGTCCTCACCTCGCCTGAAGTATTCAGTCTGGTCTAGACTCTCTTGGTGGTTGGACAGATAGTCTGTCTCATTATTCTTGTTAGTTCTGTAGAGCTCTGTTCACAGAACATTGTATAGACTTAGTGATTTTCGACGTTGTACTGAGGTTGTGTGTCTCATAGACACTCTGAGTAACTCAGGTCCTGAGCTTTAGCTTCTCACCTAATTTGTACTGGTATCTGTGTATTATCACAGTCGGGGATTTTCTTATGCTGAACTTAGATTCAGTAGTATGGGAGTTTTGTGACTTTTGTGGAGGATCTGCTGATGGTCCCTACTTAGTGTCGTTATATTATCTCCTTGTTCCTGATTCTGTGTCGCAGTTGCTTGTTATATTGCTATTGGACTTAGCATTCTTTTTATTGTTCAAGCAGACTGTTCTGACTGCCAGTTGGTCAAGAAGTTAGTTTATTTGAGGACTTTTGTCAGTCACTTGTTTAAGTTCTAGTCGAGTCGTGAGACATAGCGAACTACTTAGAGCACTTACACACATACATACTTACTTGTACATAATTGTAATATCTTATTAAATATTAATGTACCAGACGGTACTTAAGAATTATAAATGTGATATGTGCTTTCAGCACAATAATATTGTACTTGAGAGAAGTGATATTATTTTGATTACTGTGATTAATTAAATTTAATTTAATTTGATAATATACCTCTAGACTTAATAAATTCATTAAATTTTAATTTCTCTAGTTAATTGCCTACCAGTTGTAATCCTGAAGCACTACTGAACCATACTGAATTCTAATGGATTATTGGACAAGGATACTGACTACTTGTTACGAAAACCCAGTAACAGGCTGGATGCTAGAAGGGCAGTCCTTTCTAGTATTACCTGGAGATCTCTAAGCTTTTAGAATCGCGTTTTTTGTAAAAAATGGGGGCCTCTCCGGGAGGCTCTTGATCCAACGTGTTGGAGAAATTGTCCAGTTTGACATACTAGTAACTCTATGATCAAACACAGTACTTTCCTAATCTGAAGACTTTGAGTTTAGTCTTGTACAACATACCAGGTGGATGTATGTACCTGACTGAGTCTCTTGATCCAAGGAGATGGAAATACTGTTTATCAGTTCTAGCTCTAAGACAACCAACACTAAAATTCCTATTAGGATTATAGTTTCCCATAATCACTCTCTCGTAGTACAATTATTTTCGTGATGTATCCCAAAGTGAAAAAAAATAATTGATACTCTGACTTTGTCTGAGTTAAGTACATTAAAACTGCAGACGTGTTGGCGAGTAGCCAAATATCTCGGTGTGACGTATAACAGGAATTACACCGCAGAAACTGTCAGAGCGTTAATTAAAGATACATTGTTTCCTGCTCATACAGAGATGTCTGATTATGATTCAGATTCAGAAAGCCTAGTGTCACAATTAGGAAGTATGACTATTTGATGAAGTAGAAGAAAGAGCAACTAAGGCAGAAGTGAACCTAGTGTCTGAGCCTAGTGTAGCTCAGTTCTCGCTCACGCCTTCCCTCCTAACTGTTAGCTTGACGCAGCCACATACTAGTACAGTGGATGCTACACCAATATCTACTTATCCTAGACCAGATCTAGATTCTCTAGAGACGCCTGAACGAGGTGCCCGACCTAAGGACAGTCCAGAAAGACAGGTTAATTTCCCTACTCCTCCATTACCTACTGGTCCTATCTCTCAGGAACAGTTTGAGAGGTTAGAACATCTCATTATGTTGCAGACTGCACAAATAGAGGCACAGAGGAAATTGAACGAAGAAGATTTCCAAAGAGAAAATGTTCGTCTTGGAAGACAACAGACTGATAGATCACAAGACCCATTTAATGTGCAAAAAGCTGCATCCATGGTTCCTAAGTTTTTTGAGAGTGACTTAGACACCTATTTTGATGTGTTTGAGAACCAGGCACGTGCTATGAACTGGCCACTTTAAGCACGGGGCCACCTTGCGCACACACTTTGACAGGAAGAGCTCAAACTTGTACTGCTGTTTTACCATTTGCCAAGTACATTAGTTATGACGCTGTCAAACGAACTATTTCTAGAGACATAAAACTTGTTTACATGTAAGTTATCAAAGCGCATTTCGTTTTGTTACAACGACGACAAGATCAAACTTGTGTAGAGTTTGTCGTGAGAAAAAGTTGCATTTGAGAGGTGGTGAAAGGTCTGCCAAGTGTAACAACTACGACAGCCTTGTTCATTTGTTACTACTTTGAAGAGTTTAACAACTGTATGTCTGCTGATATTACAAGAATATCTGATCGATCATTTTTTTTACCTCGGATATTCTGGAAACTGCAGCATTAGCAGACAACTACGAGATTTCTCAAAAACTTGTACGTACAAAAACACAGAGAAAAAAGGTAACTAAAAATTGTCCTAGAAGTTGGCAACCTAAATCAGCTGCCCCATTGCCGGCCTGATGTATCTGCTACTAAAAAACTTATCGTACCTTTACCAGGAAACTCACAATCCTGAATCTGTCTCTGTGGCTAGACAAAAATCTGATAACGAGAAGAAGAAAGTTAAATGTACATATTGTAACAGAAAAGGACATGCTAGAGAGTATTGCTATAAGTTAGAAAGAGATACGAGAAGCAGTCGTGCGGCTGGCGCCCCCACACAAGTCGTATTTTCCGAGCAAAAAAGGGCCCCAAAAATCCAGTAATACCCTGATCCTACTGTTTTAGATAATGTTACCAGGATAGATTGACTAGCGTCAGAAAGTGTATTCTGACGAAAAAGATTCGTTCAGCGATGAATCCTTACTTTTCAAGAGGTAGAATAGGATTTGACGAATCACATTTAACTGAGATAATTACTTACAGAGACACTGGCGTTATCTCACGTTATTAAGAGAAGATGTACTGCCCATAACTGACGATCCCTATACCAAGATAGATGTATTGTTAGAAGCTTATGGAGGCGCTGTTATAAATGCCTCTGCACAAGTTTATATTGAAACAAGCTATTATACTGGTTATTTTTCGTGGGTATATCCGTGGTGTATTTCCCATCAGGTCAGTGGACTTGTTGATAGGGAACGATATTCTTCATGCTGGTATATGTAAAGAACCACTTGTGATTTATAATAACACTGATGATGATTAGCCATTGGAAGGGTTGTAGAGAGAAACCTATTTTATTTCCTCTCCGCGCAATTACTAGAGCTATGTCAAAGATTCAACAACCATCCTTGTCTCCTGTTGAGTTAGGGGATGACAATGATTTGGGCTTGAATATGTTGTTTAGTGACGCTCTGCGCCCAGGGTCATTAACACTGACTCCCCGGTCATTTAACCTAGTCAGGACACACCTGACGTTTTAAATTTTTTACTCATGATGATTTAATCAAGGATTTAGTTTGTTGATCAGTCACTGGAAAGACTGAGAGATATAGCAGTTACTGAGAGTGAAGCAAAGGGTCTCGATAATTGTTACTACTATAGCAACGGTGTACTGATGGAGAAAAATACATGCAAGTTGTCAGCTGATAGTGTTTCCACCACAGTCAAGCATCTCGTAGTGTTACCAGTTACATTTCGTGAACAAGCCATTGATTTTGCTCAAAAATAGTCCCATTGGAGGACATTTGGGTGTCAAGAAGACACTTGGTAAACTGGCAAAACATTTTACTTGGCCAAAGATGAAGGAAACAGTAGCTGATCATGTGCGACATTGCCACATGTGTCAAGTGACAGGCAAGCCAGCAGCGCACACTCCACCTACACCTCTCAGTATGAGCTCTAGTAGCAAAGTTCAGTTTATCGGACTAGACATTGTTCAGATTTGTTCAAAAGGTTGAAGCATCTGCTTTCCTCGGCTCCAGTGTTGAGTCCTAATTTCAATCTTTCCATCTTTTTACATATAGATGAGAGTGGTTATGCAGTGAGTGTTGTGCTGCTCCAACAGTCAACATCCACTGATATTCTCCATCCTATATGTTACTATTCATCTAAGCTCAAAAGACCCCCAGAAAAATATTGCGTAGGTCTTGTGGTGTCCTTTGAACATTTTGACGGTATTTGGGGGACTTCCCATTTAAAATTTACGTAATTTAATGCCCAAATACCTTTTGTTACTTGCTATGTCAAATTCAGTAGAGTAACTTAATCCCTCCAGCCCATATTAACTATGTATACTCATGTCATGTCTAATTTATTATATTTATATATTCACAGTAGTGATGTGTATGAGGAGGAGACATAAGCTGAGTGATGAGTGGGTAGTGTTGTGTGGGCGATGTTACTGTGTGTGGCGGAACACTGTCCTGCCACAGACCTCCCCCCTTCACTACACACCTTAAGCTGTTTCATACTCAGATGTCCATACTACATAGCATTCCACAACCACTACTTAAGAGTGGAATGCAGTCTCCTCTACTATGATCGAGCCTCAACGTGCCCTACTCATCTGCGCTATCCTGTCTCTACACTGATGTACATAACCACGAGTATGCAGAGATACGATACTGTGTACTTCCCTAGTACTAGGGGCATATCTTAGTGACAGACGCTGTGAAATTATAGAGGTGCTTGGCGCAAGAGAGACTCTGATTAATGTTTATATTAAATTGTATTGATATGAGTAATCAGTAATAATGTGAAAGACATTAATGCAACTCCTAGTGCGACCGTTTATCGTGTTGGGGGGTGTTGCAACCCCTGAATGGGTTGCAATATATATAATGTATATTATGATTATGAATATAATGTATATATATAATTATCACCTTTTCATATAATTTTTTATTGCTTATATTTGTGATAATAGCTAAATCGTAAATATATTGCTTTATATTATTATTATTTGACTTAGCTAAATTTTGTGAGGTAGGATGTAACATATTATGTGCTCGGTTAAAGTCTTGAATGTCTAAACTACTGAAAATTTTCGCTTGTGGCTCGTTAGACTGCCGGCTTTTCGTTGTTGCTGGGCAGCAACCCACGGAGCTATCAGTGATCGAGGGGGGGGGGTGGCCTCACCTCGCCTAAAGTATTCAGTCTGGTCTAGACTCTCTTGGTGGTTGGACAGATAGTCTGTCTCATTATTCTTGTTAGTTCTGTAGAACTCTGTTCACAGAACATTGTATAGACTTAGTGATTTTCGACGTTGTACTGGTTGTGTCTCCTAGACACTCTGAGTAACTCAGGTCCTGAGCTTTAGCTTCTCACCTAATTTGTAAGGTATCTGTGTATTATCACAGTCGGGGATTTTCTTATGCGAACTTAGATTTAGTAGTATGGGAGTTTTGTGACTTTTGTGGAGGGTCTGCAGATGGTCCCTACTTAGTGTTGTTATATTATCTCCTTGTTCCTGATTCTGTGTCACAGTTGCTTGTTATATTGCTATTGGACTTAGCATTCTTTTTATTGTTCAAGCAGGCTGTTCTGACTGCCAGTTGGTCAAGAAGTTAGTTTATTTGAGGACTTGTCATCACTTGTTTAAGTCTAGTCGAGTCGTGAGACCCAAACGAACTACTTAGAGCACTTACACACATAATACTTACTTGTACATAATTGGGAATATCTTATTAAAAAGTTAATGTACCAGACGGTACTTAAGAATTATAAATGTGATATGTGCTTTCAGCACAATAATATTGTACTTGAGAGAAGTGATATTATTTTGATTACTGTGATTGATTTAATTTAATTTAATTTGATAATATACCTCTAGACTTAATAAATTCATTAAATTTTAATTTCTCTAGTTAGTAGCCTACCAGTTGTAATCCTGAAGCACTATTGAACCATACTGAATTCTAATGGATTATTGGACAAGGATACTGACTACTTGTTACGAAAACCCAGTAACAGGCTGGATGCTAGAAGGGCAGTCCTTTCTAGTATTACCTGGAGATCTCTAAGCTTTTAGAATCGTGTTTTTTGTAACAATGTCAGAGGAGGAATAATGAGAACCTTCAAAACTAGGGATGCCAAGCCCATGATGACACTTTTCAAGTCGCTCGTTCTATCTACACTGGAATGTTGCTGCACACTAACAGCACCTTTCAAGGCAGGTGAAATTGCTGATCTAGAAAATGTACAGAGAACCTTCATGGCACACATAACTGTGATAAAACACCTCAATTACTGGGAATGCTTGAAGTTCCTCAACCTGTACTTGACTTAAGAAATCGTAATGACACGATTGCAAATAAACCATACCCCCGGCCGGGATTGAACCCGCGGTCATAAGTCTCAAAACTCCAGCCCGTCGCGTTAGCCACTAGACCAGCTAGCCACAATAAGATTCATCCAACTAGGTATATTTCTACACCATAGGAAAGTTAGCACAGGCACCTCTGTGACCACAAATGCAAGTTTTTACAGACGAATCTCCAGCTAGCGTGGCCACGCTAGCTGGAGATTCGTCTGTAAAAACTTGCATTTGTGGTCACAGAGGTGCCTGTGCTAACTTTCCTATGGTGTAGAAATATACTTAGTTGGATGAATCTTATTGTGGCTAGCTGGTCTAGTGGCTAACGCGACGGGCTGGAGTTCTGAGACTCTATGACCGCGGGTTCAATCCCGGCCGGGGGTATGGTTTCCTCAACCTGTACTCTCTGGAATGCAGGCGGGAGAGAAACATGATTATATACACTTGGAAAATCCTAAAGGGATTAGTACCAAACTTGCAAGTGAAAATCACTCCCTATGAAAGCAAAAGACTTGGCAGATGGTGCAACATCCCCCCAGTGAAAAGCAGAGGTGCCACTAGCACGATAAGAGACAACACAATAAGTGTCCGGGGCCCAAGACTGTTCAACTGCCTTGCAGCATGCATAAGGGGGATTACCAATAGACCCCTGGCTGTCTTCAAGACCCCTGGTTGTCTTCAAGAAGGCACTGGACAGGCACCTATAGTCAGTATCTGACCAGCCAGGCTGTGGTTCGTACGTTGGGCTGCATGCGGCAACCCGACGTATGTACCCTGATCCACCATTAGGCCTGGTCACAGACCAAGCCACGGGGGTGTTGACCCCAGAATCCCTCCCCAGGTATACCCCACATCAATAATCATGAATTTGTGAAGATTATCATCACTATAAGCAATTATTACAGAATATATTCATGGGAAATGCTTAACTCAATATGTTCATACAGTGTCTGGAAAATATGAAGTAATTATGCTTAATTCAAGGAAGTGAAGAATACCTCCACTTTTTTTAATTAAGATTATTATAATCATGGGGGAGAGCTAAACCTGTAGGGTTATACAGCACATGGGGGGGGGGATGGAAGGCATTCAGGCTGAATTCAGGAAACTGGAGCACAGATCCAATTCCCTAAATCAAGACCCCCTTACCAGCATCAAGGAACCTCCCTTGTGGAGCTTGAATCAAGAACCCTTGGCAGTGAAGGACATTTCTGCCAGGTGTGATGCCTTGATGATGGTAAAAGCTGCACCACACATTAACTTTCCAGACATCTAGACTTACCAAATCCAGCGAGGGAATCAAGGTGCCTTTTCTTAGTCTGGAAACCACTCACGAAGTCCTCATCAACGAAGCTACTGCTACTGTTCTCACTGAGCACCCCAGAGAAGTTGAGACGTCTGGACCCACTCAAACAAGAATCTCCGGACTTATTTCCGCCAGTCAGAAACTGATTCAGGTCCTTCAGAGCCTTCACCACCATCGTTGGTTCAGGAGACAAATCCATGACTGAATTTCCCTGGAAAAGTTCCAGGTTCACAACAACCGTTGATGGCCACTTCTGGCTCCTGGGGTGGAAATTATCTCCAGGTTTCAACAAGAAATGGAAATATTGTTGGTGTTGGTGTGTAAGGGCACGACAACCTGTGTTGTATGAACCTGGGGAAGAAATGATTGATTAATTTAGTGAGAGACGCACACAACGTATTTTATTTACTTGATGAGGTCGCTTATACACTGACACTCACCTTCCAGCCTTCTGCACTTTATTGTTATATAGTCAGTAAAGTAAGTCAAGTAAAGTAAATCAAGTAAGTAAAGTGAAGTAAGTAAAGTAAGTGAGGTACGCGAAGTAAGTAAGTGAAGTAAATAAGTAAAGTAAGTGAAGTAAGTACTAAAGTAAGTAAAGTAAGTAGGCCAGTAAAGTAAGGTCAGTAAAGTGTATAAGTAAGTAGTCAGGAAAGTAAGTAGGTCAGTAAAGTAAATAGGCCAGTAAAGTATATAAAGGAACCAAATGAAAATAAGTCACTGACTTTTTTGGGTTATCCCAGGTTCTCTACACATGTACAAAACAACCACGGGGGAGTTGGATGATAGCTCTAGGCCTTTCGTGTTGCAATCAACACATCATCAGGAGCTTGCAATGTTGCAGAAAATACGATAAAGTTCCAGCAAACACGTTCAGTTAGCGTAGGTTAAATCTACATGATGTATCATACATGTAATCCCACAACACCTGTGTGACCTTAAAACCATTGTAAAAAAAATAACTAGTGCATAAAACATATGTAAAAAGCCTAGCACCAATTAAGTCACTAACATTGTTATCTCATAGCTGGGGCCATTGACAACATCCTCGTATAAACTAAAAAATTATTATCGACAAAAATTTATTAAGTGAAATTATTTATTACGATATACTATAATCCGATTACTTTTTGCATTAAAAGTGAAGTTTGATTGTAGTTATTATTAAATGTTTATAAAATGTGGAATGAATTAATTTTTGTGTTGCTGAACAAATAATAATCTTACCTATACAATTACTCCACTTTACTTTTAGCATCTTATTAAATATTTTTCAAATGTATTACTACCAAAACAGTTATTTTCATGTTTTAAACAATTATCACTGTGAAATAAAGCAAATTTTTACGCTTAAAAAAATATTTGTTGAAATTGATTGGACGCAACCACAACCTAAAAAGATTTAAATGTAGCAACAACATCAAGACGAAAACCTTCTCAAGTTTTAGAATTTTAATATTTTTATCGTCTTCCTGGCTCTTAGTAAGTATTTTTAATTCTTCTGGAATTGTCCATGTAGATGTCTAAGAAAATTATTCCCTAGAATGTAACTTATGCTCTTGTAAATTACTTTTGAAAATGTCAAGAATTTCAAATGTAAATAAACATTTGGTGAACTTGTTTGGGTTTTTTTTTTTTTTTTTGGTTTGACTCGGTAGATTATTAATTATATGACTCTTGATGTTCATAAATAGTAGAAGTACAAGCTTGAGTTAAGTGGTATATACATATACAATGATAATCACAGACCTCAGTGGAGACCACATTAACTATTAGTGTATGACCCTTGTGGGTTTAGCGCTTAATTTTGAATGTAGGAGTCTCCTTAGTTAAATTTGCATAGTGTATTATATATAAATATGTATGTAGCCATAAGACCAGTGTGCCTTCAATAACATTATCCCCTCAAGGAAGGTTCCTTGATGCTGGTGAGGGGCTCTTAAATCTGGGGAAAATTGATCGGGTGCTTCAGTTCCCTGAATTGAACCTGAATCCCTTTCCCAAACACCCCCCTCAATGCATTTTTAAATTCCTACGGTTCGGGTGCTCCCCTACGATTAAATAATAAAAATCAGTACTTTTATAAAATTTTTAACATTTGTTAAATTTAAAAAAAAGCTTAATAGGTACATTAATGTATTTTTTCCCTGCATTTGCACACAAGTTACCCCCTGTTATCCAGGATAGATGGGAAAAATGTAACTAAATTTAACATATTTAAAAACCCCTTAAACAGGGGGCCCCCTTTATATTGGGTTTTTCCGCTCACTGCAGTAAAGTGAAAAATAACTTTTTCCATTTTTTAAATCCCTATAAAAGCCTGATAAAAATTTTTTTACAATGTCAATTTTAAAAGTGAGCAATGGAGCTAGGCCTAAAAAAATCATATACAACACACACATTACTTACCTTAAAAATTTTTTCCCATCCTTGGGATATGTGAGTGGTGAATTATTT